GTGTGCGGTCTTGCATTGTACTGGTGGAATGAGACACCTTTACGATTGACAAACTCCGGCCGCTTCACGTTGATGGATGTTTTCTTTTAGTCTGGTTGTACACAGTAGACATCCGAATTAATCGTTTGGTTCCTTGGAGGCAGCTCAAAATATGCCACACGCTTCCAATCCCACCAAACCGACAGTATAATTTTATTTTGTTGAATATCAGCCTTAGAAGTGGCTTGTGGCGCTTCATCACGATTGGACCATGATTGTTTTCATTGCGTTTAAATTACATATCACAAGGGTTGAATCGGTTTATGAAACGAATTTCATTCAAAACATGTGGTTTTCAAGGTTTTTAGTCCAAGGCGTAGTATATGATTATGGACGGTGTTTTTTGGTACACTTAACTTCTCTCCAAGGCTGACCTAAACATGGTTTATCTTAAAGTGAAAAATCTCTTGAATGGAAATTGACAACCCAACTTCGACACTGTGTTCCTTTTAAGGCCTTATTATCATACAAATAACACAAAATTTTAGCAACCTGAGCTGCATTCTTTACCTTAAGGAACTACAATAATAAAGTAAAATATGGCAAAATGTTATTTTATAGGCTTCGTATTTAAATTGACGCCTACCAAACAAATATACTTTTTTTCTAAGGCAAGCTAAAAGTGATAGCTCCTAACTGCCAAAAGGAAAAGCACAATTGAATAGTCACAAGCTGCTCAAAAAAATTAACGGCGTCTTTATCCCAAATAGGTTATGTTTTGGAATAATCTCTACAGCCAACAAAAACTGCTTTCATATTTATTAATTCTTCTTGATTATAAGCTGTGGATTGTGCGAGCAGCAGCAGCAATATTGATTTGACTAGTTTACCTAGTAGAGTTCAGCCAAAAATATTATATTAAGTGTAGTATGAAAAATAAATATTTAAAAAGATGATGCCATAGCAAAAATAATTGTTTCTATGCTCTAGTTGACTTTAGAAAAGGTAATTTTGTTTGAACTAAAAAATGTTTCTGATCTTTTTTGTGGAGTTGAAACTCAACCATCCTAAAGTATGTTTCAAATGTGAATTTTTATAGAATGGTTTCTTATACTTTTATCAGCCATCAATCGTCCACAACTAACTAATTTGTCATCATCGTCATCTGATGAAGATATGAAAATCTTTTGGAATTGCTCGATTTTGATGTCGATACAGATGAAGCACACGAAAGTGAGGACGATTTGGAAGAAGTGTCTTGTGAAAATGATTTATCACTTTAAATAGAGTGTCGATAGAGCAACAATGTACGAGGTTGCAGGTCTGTCTGACTTAGCATTTACCACCAAGACTTTCTTAGACGGCAGTTTGGTGTCACTACTATCACCATCAACTTCAATTGTTTCATTTCCTGCTTTTAAGCTGAAACATAAAAGTCCTTCGCTGGAAATAATTCATGTAACTCCGGTCTTCAAATTCGTTTAAATCACTAGATCCAAGTCGGCAAGCGGGGCGATATTTTTCAAAGATGGGAGGTTTTGACGCCGCTTTTTAAAGATTTCGGAGTGAAAGTAAATGATATAACTGAACCTCCCGTTCTGGATATTAATCCAAAATAAAATTTTTCCAAAAAAAAAAAAAAAAATATTTTGACGTCACTTCGGATAAGCCGGCTAGATAATTCATTTTCTGATACTGATCTTAGAGAAGAGTTCTGATAAACCAGACAAATGCAAAAAACTTTAACTTTCCCGAAATTTTCGCCACAAAATCGCGAAAGAAGAAAATGAAGGACGTTTATCTGGAACCTTGGGATGAAAGTGTAATATAATATAAATCATTCTCCCAGAAAATTTTATTTTTATTTTTGCTATAAGAGTGGTAACAATTTGCAAAGGACATGGATTTGTTCTTCGACTTCGTTTCTTATGCCTTTCATTTTAAGTAAAAAAGGAAGAAGTATTTCTAGGGTCAAATATTAATTCCCCTATATTTGAAAAATTGGTAGGGGGAAATGGGGAGGACTAAACGATAGAATTATCTGATTTCGACAATTTTCAGTGTCCAGCTCTCAGCTGCTCTTTTGATAAAAAAACCGACACCTGACCATATGGTAGTTATATAAAATAGGCTTCCGATTTCAATGATTTTCTGTGACAATGTTTATTTGTATATACTTATGTAGTATACCGAATTTCATGTTTTTAGTTGCTTTTGTGACGAATGTCTAATCAAAGCCTTATTTCTAAAAAAAATCCGTGAATGTGAGCTATATCTTTTCATCCTCCCGATTTCTATAACTTTTAGCAATAATGTGCAATTCGTCAAACGTATGCGAAATGCTAAAATTTACGCTCTTAGAAACATTTTTTTTTTCTAAAAGTTTATTACCCAATTTATTCGAGGCTGCAATATTCGAGTGTTTAGCATTGCGTACTAAAATTCGGAAGGCAGGGTTTGAGTTTTGGTCCGACCAACATTAAAAATTATAGAAAATGAATCTTCTCAATTGCGATCACCTCTCGGTGTACTTCTGCTATGAAATAAAAAGCCCCTTATAAAACACCATCTGCCGTTCAAAGGCGATTTGGAATAAACTGTAGGTCCCTCGATTTGTTGGTAAAATTATAAAAGGTACATTACAAATCGGAGGAAGAGTTCGCCCGAAAATAGTTTCAGCATTTACAAATCTCAAATTTATGAAATTGCAAACTTGAAAAGACGGTTGCATATATGCTAAGGCCTATTTTAAATCCAAATAAAAGGGCTGACGTGCATGTTTAAAATACATAGTTAGGGCCAATGTTAAGTTAACATAAAAAATATGCTAATTCTACTTAATTCTATTTTATTTTATTTATTTTATTTTAAACTTTTTTATTATTTTATTTCAACGCTTATTTAAGGCTTCAGCGTTTTTTCCTGCTCGATTTTACTATATTAATTTTTCACATGGCTGCGTTTAAAATCGCTTAAATTATGAATAAATAAATAAACCATTTATATTGTGTCACTTAATTATGCATAACTGATCGCCCGAATTAACACTTTTAATTAAAATGACAATATGCGTGAGTATCTTAGATAGGCTTCTTATAACACAAAAAGAGTTATAAGCCAATAAATTAAACAGATCAAAAAAAAACAATAAATTTGTATAATAGTTTTGGCAGTCAGTAAATGAAAGCACAGACATTAGCATTTTTACTCATATCGTTCATAGAGATGTTATTTGTGTAGATTTATCTAGTTAATTTTTTATTCCGATTTCAAGGGCCTCCGCCTTTTACGAGCATTTTTTATCCGACTGCGCATTAAAGGTGCTCATTCATGTCTTTTTTTTTTGTTATTTTCTAATTTATGTTCATTTTTGTTCGACATAAGCTCAGCAAATTGTTTAAAAATGTTGATTTCGTTGATAATGATCTGGCTGTGCGGGATCTTAAGCTACTTGTCATTTAGTTATAACTAAATCAATTTCGTTGAATAATTGCACACACATATATATTTATGTATACATATGTATATATACATATGACATACGTGTATGTACGAGTATATTTAAAATTATAAAATGCTTCTTTGTAGTTTAGGCCTTTTCGTATTTTTTTATAATATGCTAATATTTTGCTCACATAAACTCGCTACAGAAGATTTATTGTCTACCTACATAAAACTGTATCCATCGTTTCAATCAATAATCATTGAGCTCCGCCAAAAATTCGTAAAGTTTTAATGTTCGAAGTAATTATTTTCTTTTTTAGAAGTTTTCTTTTCTTTCTAATTGTACATCTACGATACTGAAACGAAAATAAACGAAATTTGTGGTGTATAAAAATGTTGGAGAAACTGTTTATGGCCTTTTTGGTGAGTTTGGGTAGAGAAGTTTAGTTCAATTTAGATTTATAAATACACATATGTTCTCATATAACGTTTTCCAATAAGAGCTATTATTTTGATATTCTAAGATAAATGGATTTTTTTGAGACAAATAATCGGTTGTTTATTTTAGTTTAAAAGTAAAGTGGCTACTAAATGCCCTCAATAGCTTCACAAATTCCGTCTTTGAGGCCTTTAATCGACGATGGCCTATTGGTGAAAACTTCGGCTTTCATGTATCTAAAGGAAGGAGTCGTAAGATGTGTCGGCGGACAATTCTGATCACCTCTTCGAAACAAACAAACAAACAAAGTTAATAGGCCTTAGTCAGGTCTAACGGAATCCGACGCGACATGTCGGTAGCCACCTAGCTTAAGGCCCAAAGACGGAGAGGCTTTTCAACAATAGCCCCAGACGCAATAGTCTTGCGTATAGATATCAAGGTGAAAGAGCCTCATTTGCCAAGATGATTTTTCATTGAAAGTCCACATTATTTTTGTGCATTTCAAGGACCCAATCACCAAAGACACGACATTGTTGATAATCAGCCGGCTTGAGTTATTGCATTAACTGAACTTTTTAAGCATTAAGACCCAAATCTTTATGCAAAATACGGTGTAGGAACGGCAAGAAATGGACACACCTGGATTTTCTTCAACACTGTAAGCTACAGCAGCAATATTCTCAGTTGTTCTTGAGCGACGTGCACGTGTTTTGTTCCTCACATTACTTACTTGCCTCAACAGCTCTATTTTTCCTCCAATGTTTGTATTGCAGTCGAACAAAGGGCTTTATAACGACCCAAAAATGCTTTAGTTTTACAAGGCATCTCTGGGAGATTTTCATAATCTCAATTGTTGTTTAAGTGACATCTTCCCGAATAGCAGGCTATTCAAAATAACACCTCTTATTGGAAAACAAAACAAATTCAATTCTTTTTAAATCCAATTGCTTTATTTTCAATAAGCAGTAGTGTGGCGGACAAAGTTATCTTTCCACATTTCAGCTACCGTTCTACTATTACTTTTCATTTTTTTAAATATGCCCATTTATGAATACCCCAAGAGTTGCCACACTAGCATATAATTATTTTGAGAAAAGTGGCTTACTCTTTTAATGTTATTTTTTTTTATTTATTTCAGGCCGTACATGCTACTGGCATCATCACGGGACTCTCCGCCAATAGCGGTTCAGTCAGCTGTGGTGGTTTGATCTGCCGACCAATAACGGGTATATTCACACGCGATCCACTACCAGAAGACGCTTACGTACATGTGGCTGCAATACCAGCAGGAGCTTCGAATATTTCTATTACCGAATTGGGGAACAGCATAAATTTATTGGGTAAAGTTAATTTAAAACACAAATTTCGGTTTTGTATAAACAAAATTTAATGCCCTTGACAGTGCTGCGTACATCGGATCAAAAATATATATTCAATGGCGATAATATGGCTTCTGATAGTGGTGCTTATGAAGCTTTGGGAGCGATTTTCGATTATCATCGGATCGATGGCCTACAGCATGGAGACGGTGTGACAGAGTGGATTACTTGCTTGGGACCTATAAGAGACATGTTGGAGTTGATGGTGAGTAAAACTATGAGTAAATCTACTTGATTTTGATGGTGAACAATTTTTTTTTAACTTGAAGATATACAGCAAGTCCACAAATCCTGGTATTAAGTATGAGTATCTGTTACCCATCACATCAGATTCTGAGGAAAATGAATTGTCAGTCGAAAGCGATGGTTTCTTGAAGAATGTGCCAGAGGAAAGTTTTGCTAGCGGCTTACGTTCGGGTCGTCGACGTCGTTTCAATTGGAAGGTAGTGGGTTTTAGCGCTTGCTCTAAGACCTGTGGTGGTGGCATACAAACACCTATAGTTCGTTGTGTACGAGAGAACCCCATTCGCTACTATTCACAACGTCGCTGTTTGCATTCCGAGAAACCGATGCTCAATGAAAACCTGCTACGTTGCAATACACAGCCCTGTCCTGCCTATTGGCGTCTTGATGACTGGAGTGAATGTCATTGTCAACAGGGCGAGGGTTATAGAGAACGCGATATAGGTTGTGTACAAGAACTAGCTTCTGGCATAGTGATACACGTCGACAACTTGGCTTGCATCGATGAAATGCCGAGTCCACGCAAGCCCTGTGACTGCCCAAAGAATAGACGTCGCTCACATGCGGCACGTTACCGCACAGCACACGCAGGTTCAAATGGTACACATAATCATCGGGGACGCGATAAGAACGATAAATCTGGTATTTGGTTAATGTCCGATTGGAATCAATACTGTTCGGTTGAGTGCGGCACAGGCGTGGAATATCGTACAATCTTTTGTGATCGCTCAAAGCCGAACTCCGATCGCTGTGACTCACGTGCAACACCAGAACTTACACGTCCTTGTGAACGTGAGCGAGATTGTGAAAAGGGCGATTGGTTTGCGGGACCGTGGTCCTCATGCAATGGTAACTGTTTCAATCTGACACGTAGTCGGCCCGTTTATTGTATACACAAGCAAGAAATTGTAAAGGATGAGATTTGTAAAGCAGAGTTAAAGCCGCAGTTAGTAGAGAACTGTCTGCACGAAGAAGTGGAGTACTGTGGACCACGTTGGCATTATTCCGAGTGGTCAGAAGTAAGCAAAATATTCTCAAACAGTTAAAAAAAAATATCAATTATAATTGTTTTAATTACTTGCAGTGCACGAAATCTTGTGATGGTGGTACACAGCGTCGTTCAGTAAAATGTTTGGAATACGACGCTCATGAGGCCACAATGCGTGAATCGGCCAAATGTCGGTATTCTTTGCGGGAGCCTATCTATCGCAGTTGCAACACGCAAAAATGTGATGGTAAGTGGAGAATGCGGGGAATTTCAGTAAATGACTCTAGTTGAATAATTAATAATAGAATAATAATTAATGAACTTTTAAAATTCAGCTATAATTTTAATAATTTTTGAATACTTCCAAATTTTAAAACCTTTCCTAGACTTAAATTAATTTTCTTTCTAAACTCTGAAACTATTATTACTACCCTCAATGATTTCCCATCTCCCGTCTAGCCGTACTAGGCGTAAACCCCATGGGTTTCAATATCACCAAGCCACGATGAGGAATGTTCAAAGTGTCGAGAACTAATAAAGTTCAACCACCGAAGATTTTTGTATAAGTAACTTACAAGATCTCATCATGTATCTCTTGCTAATAAGATAAATATAATATATGCGTTATTGGTGCTAGGTGACCAAAAGTTATTTCTCTGATAATGTATGACTCAAAATTGGAAAATTCATTCCGTTTTTTAAGATTGGTAGTTTTTTATGATTTTAGACAAATATTTATAAATTTCATAAATTAAAAGTATTAAATCAGAAAGAACGGAGGTCGAACTGGGTCTATTCTATTGCTATGGAACTGTTTCACGTAATAGAGGGCGACTAATGTTGGATCATCATGTGTTCATGCTAAAATCGTTGGTATCGCTTATCGATGTTGGCTCGATCTTAGTGTTATCGCTCAACTTGTTTCAACAATTTTCAGAAAAAAATTGAAGTGAGAATGTCGGAGATATTCCAGCCTCACTTCCAATACTTGTCGAGCTATGCCGTTATTTGCAATCGTTATGACAGCGCTTTTCTGCCAATACGCGAAAGCTCGGAAACTAAAACCAATAAAGCCAAACAGATTAAATATTTGGATTTACCCTATCAAATATTCCTGATGATTGTTCTATTCTTGACTTATATAATTGGCTTATTGTCGACAAAATTGGTTTCTTAATATAAAAATCGAGTCAAATAAAATGAACTGCGCTGGAGTGAGAGCTAAAACCAAAGCACTAGCAGTACTAAGGCTCATGAAATTTTAAATACCTATCACATGCTTTCAGGAAGACGCACTACAAACTTTTAAGTGTAAATTTCCGAAAAAAGAAGGCAATTGAAAATTATTTTCCCGATGAAAATTACACCAGGCCATAATCTATAACTAGCAAGAATTAGGAGGTTGATACGACTTAAACGACTGGTACACATGTGGAAGAAGATCATGTTGAGAGTTCTATTGACAATTTTCAGAGCAAAAATCTGAAATGATTTTGAAAAGATTTTATTCTAATTGATTTGATATCTCTGATTCTAGTATACTGAGAACGGCAGAACTTTATGTTTTTAGGGCCATTTATTTTACATTAATCAGTCATTCTGATTAGGTCTGTTACATAAGCCATTAAAATGTTGGAAAAATGTATCTCCGCAGAAATACTATATATAAGTAATCAACCACGGATTTTCGGCCGAAGGGACCTCCTACAGCTTATCCTAAGCCGCCTCCGAAGGGCTGATGATTTTTTATCATGTCAGAAGTACCCTCGGTGGGGTTAACATTCCCTGCCGAGGGGCGAACGCAATTATAAAATTTACTTAATTTTTTATTTTAATTAATTTTCTATAAATTTTGGATGTCGGTCACGCCAGGATTTGAACCCTGACCTCCCGAATGGCAGTACGGAATGCTAATCACTAGGCTATCGCGGCCGACATTATTTGTGGGTATAAAATTGTATTTTGTCAGATTAATACTAAAAATGTTATTTTTAAACATTGTAGTTTACCGTTAACTTGTGCTATAACACGTTCTTATTTTGTCGTTTAATCAACTTGACACCTGTTTCTGCTATTTACTTTCATATTACTGCAGAATTAAAATTGCAGTGTGCGACTCCTCCAATTTATCTGCCATTTGATTGGTGTAATTAAAGTTTCAATTGTTGCCGTAACAATTTTTATTTTTACGGAAGCCTTGAAGATTAGCAAATTGATGTTTTAGCCAATCTTCCAAACACTTGCTTAAGAAAGGGAATTGTTTATGTGTGTTTTTTTTTCTCTTTACCACCAAACAATCAGTTTTAGAACAATGCTTTGCGAATTGCATAGCCAAATCATTTGCCACACTTAAACACAAAAAATATTTTTAAGCAATTGTTTGAGAAGAATTAGCTTAAGACGTAGATACACTTACACATACACATATAAACAATTCTAAAACAGACGGCACCTCTGTCAACTTATAATTTAAGTTGTTTTTGAGATCTCTCGAACACTTATATTAAATTAATTTAACGCGGTTTGACCACTTAAAATAAATTTAGTCATAGAATTTTTGTAATCTTCGATCCAATTGAAGAAATTTTTAACCAATTTTTGGCACATATTAAGATTGTGATACCAATCTCAGCCATAATTTGACGAATGCTGGAATGTGCACTATAATCTCCTCTTAAATGACGAAAAGTGACCACGTTTAGATAAGTATTCTTTTGATGATTTTTAACAATTTTAACGTATTGTGCGGTTGTTAAGCGACCTATTTTGATGAATGCTTGGGTTTTAGCACATGTCAAAATACAAAACTGTACCCTTGAAACTATGAAATGGATAATCATGTATATTGTAATAATTAATTAATTAATTTTCAAAATTTTAATTTAATTCGCTTAGGTTTTTTTTTTTAAGTTATGAAACTTAAGAGATTCATTAGAGAAGTTTTTGTGGCAACACAACGGGTCTTATTCAGCTTAAGTATAATCGTTGCTATGGTTCGGCAGCCACCACAACCCAACTTATATAGTTTATTCAAAAACGATTCAAAAGTACTTACTTGCGTATACTGATATATTACTGTTAAATTATTATTTTTTTTAATATTTTGTTGAAACCAAAATTGACTAATGGAAATTTAAAATAATTTAGCATTTATTTTCCGTTCAGAACCCCAATTAGAGCTTCTACAAAATGACGTCGCTGTTTCTTGTGTAGACGAGTTCAACAACTGTCAGTGGGCCGTTAAAGCGAAACTATGCAGCTACGATTATTACAAACAAAATTGCTGTTACTCCTGTGGCGCTGCCTAGAAGAATGGCCAGCAGTGTGTCATGTCGGGGAGAGTTAGCAATGGCAATATGCTGCGAAATTATAAATATTAGCTTAATTTTATATCATTACATATTTTTTTTTTAGTTTTTATTTATTATTACTACTTTTTTATTTTTTAATTATGTTTGAATTACTATTGCAAAAAAAAAAAATACTTTTAGTAATGTATTTTGTATGCCTGGCGACAAATTCGATTATTTTTAAGTTACGAAAATGAGACAATTCTAACCGAAGCGATTTATTTATGCATTCTTTGTAAACTTTTGAATATTTAAAATATGTTTAAAAAAAAGAAATTTTATTTGAAGAAATTTCGGCTTACACTTAAGTATTTTTCTAAGTATTTATAAAAAATAAAAGTCAGAGGTAAACACATATATGCATACATATGTATTTAGTAAGATTTTGTCTAATTTTTTTAAAAGCTTGTATGAAAACGTACGAAAAATTCTTTAAAATCAATATCTACTATATGAATTTGAATAGACTTTTTTTTAAATTAATGTACTTCATTTCATATCACATTCCACATACATATATAGGTATGTATACATATAAATAAACACCTTTCGATAACCGTCGTAACGAAATAGCCAGTCTTGCATTGAGGCCCTAAAAGTAATAATTATTAGAAAATACTTTATTTGAAGTGCTACTTACTGCATCTCGCTTTTATGTAAAATCTATCAAATAATTATTATAAATTTTCCTTTTATAAGATTAAAGATATTATGAGAATTTTGAAGCATGCACAATTATATGGCGAAAATTGTAATTAACTTGTTTTAATACTTAATTATTATTTTATTCTTCATCGTAAACGAAATTGTATTCATCCTTGAATATTTCAACTTTTCCGTCTTGAATAATATGTTTTTTAATGAGAGTGTGGTTTATTTTCGTAGGTCAATAACATTACTAATGTGTTCTAATAGTTAATAGTTTATATTAATAGTTTCTGCAATATTTTATAAATTATATATAAATATATATTTTTTTTTAATTACGAATATAACCAAACTAAGCTCGGTAATGTAAGCAACGGATTAACATAAAACTGACAAAAATACAAAATTACTTATGTAAAAATAAAGTGCAAAAAATAAAATAATTACTAATGAATATAAAAATAAAACTCACTCTTTTGTAAGAAAAAAAAAACTTAAAACATGTTTTTCTTTTCAATAAAATTTTTAAACATTTTTCTAAATGGAAAATTTAGCGTTTCTTAGCAATAGGCTGTGGGGAGCTGGTGGTACTACGCAAATGTAAGTATGTATGTATATACACGTATGTCGCATGTGCTTATGTGTCAGATGGAAAATTATTACAATGGAATTAATGGATTTCACTTGTTACCTTTAAATATTTAAATACTCGCATTAGTGAAGTGGAAATTACTTTTCCAAACTAAAAGCTCAACAGCAATAGTAGTATATATTTTTAGTTTGTCTCGTAAAGTTCGCTTCACTTATCCATATGCACATACAAGTGCAGCCAAAAAGTGAAAATCCGCCAACAGCAACGAAATGGCAAGCATTTTGTGGAAATTTTCGTTGGTTGAAACGGATTGGATTATATATCAAAAATTATTTCACTGAAAGTTGTATACACGGATTTGTATATTTGGTTAAAGAACAACTGATATTGATAGAGCAGTAAGTAAAGATAGGCTTGTTAGCAGGAAACCCTTCGAATCCATTTAAACGCCACAAGGCGATAAGTGTAGTTATGCAGGCACCGAAACGTATTCGTTTACCATTTCTGGATATGTTGGAAGCAGCAAGATATTTCAACACTGAGAAACTCTATTTACTGCCGAAAATTGAAAAATATTTTCCAACATCAAGAAACAATATTTTGTTTGACCTTGTGAAGCGATTGATCTCAATTCTGGTTATGTTACCAGTTTCTAGTAAAAAAAAGTTAAAAGCTTCATAAGTTCTAAAGATTCTTAATGAAAAGAGATCGCATTAAAGAATTTCTTAATTTGAATTTTTAAGTAATAGCTTAAATTTCAAAAAAAAAAAACTTTCTTGATGCTGAGACACCTTTCGGGGACTGATTCACTATACTTATCATGCTTTGACTTTCAGCCTTCCTGAAAGTTAAGGAAGAAAATTTTATTTCTCAAAAAAAAAAAAAAAGGCATTAGAAAAAGTGTTGAAAAATAATAAAAAATAAATATTGATTGTAAATTTCTTAGCAAAATATATACCTTGGTAAAATTGCGGCTGCGGTAGTTGCTATTCGGAATGCCAGGGTTCAAATCAACATCCCAAAGTTATAGAAAAATAATTTAATATTTATTAAGTTAAATTTTATATTTTCGGTCGACCTTCGGCAGAGAATATCAACCCCTCCGGGTGTAGTCCTGACATGAAATAAAGGGTGCGTTCAGCAAACTGAGCACTCAGTAAATATGTTGAGTCAGTTTACTGAACGATTCAATTTTATGAACGTACTGCTACTTCAAATATCGAAAAGACCACATTAACAACTGATCTTGAAGTTATTAAGTAATTTTATTTTATGCATGCTAACGTTTGCGCTATTATGTCGTACTTGAAATGTTGTTCTATTCATTCTGAAATGCTCCGTAAACTGGTCATCTACCTACCGTGAAAGAAATTCTTGATAAAACTTTTTGCTTCCTTCCTTTGAATTCCGTTTTTTGAAAAAATGTTTATCTAGTGCAGAAATAAATTTGTTTGACAACCCAAAAATTCTGGGAAATTGTCATCACAAGCACTTTGAAGTGAGGTACCTTCTTCGAGTTCTTGCGAAATCAAAAGTCGCTCGCGTATTCGATTTGATTTGTGTAAAACGTTTTGATTTACAATTATATTTACATAGGCAAAGTCACTTTTTGTATAAATGCTTGCGCTTGCCGAGCTCACAAATCTCGCTTGTTTGTTTGGCAAGCACGGCTTATACAGGCCAAAGGCGCATTAGAGTGTGTCCAATATATTAGGACGGCGTGTTTTTTTAAACTCTCGTGATATATTTTTTTCGATTCACAGCAGTTGACCGATCGGCATCAAGTAGCATAAAAATTCTACGCTCACTAATAAGGTGACCGCTAACGAGCATGTTTACTGAGCGCTAACTGTTCATTGAGTTCAGCGTCCGCACACTGAACATGTTTACCGAGCGTTCAGTTCGCTGAATGTACCCAAAGGCTCAACATAAGAAACCATCAGCCGTTCAGAGGCGGCTTAATATAATATAAACTGTGTAGGTCCCTCTAAATTAGACAGTGGAATGGAGCTTTTAAAGGAAGAACAGTCTAAAGTAAAAACAATGCATGAAGGTGGAGCTTAGATTAAAGAAACTGCTGCTGCAACAAATCGCCACCGAAATAGAATCAGTAACTTCTTAAACGTTCGTTTAAAATGCACAAATTGTGAGCATAGTAGAAATAGAAATATTAAAATAAAATACCCAATACAAGTTCTCGGAGTACGAATTTCATTCAGTGTTTTTAGTGATGAAAAACAAACCAGCTTAGATGGAGTACGATTACTGTTGATACCGGCTACGTTAGAGCTGAAGAAAAGTCTGAAATATCCTTTGTACCACTTCCCATGTATTCAGCGAAATAAGTAGAGCTGTTGGAGAACGAGCTTATCTCCCATTCGGTGGAGTGCTTCATGGTGAAAATTGAATATTTCGACAGGACAACGCTCCAATACACGTTGCAAAGTACACAAAGTGGAGTGGCCTAGCCAAGATATTAATCCAATAGAGCATCTATGGGGTAACCTTTCTACAACATATTTGAAACTGCTAAACAATAGCAGTGTTTAAACCAGCTTTAAGAAGCTATTATTAAAGAGTGAATTTGCTACAAATTAACATAGACCTAACTGAACAGTCAATTTATAACAAAATGGGGAGATTTTTTTTTAAATAGAGCTAATACCATTAGAAAAATTTATGATTTTTTAAATTTTATTTAAGTTATTTTTTAAATTAAATATGTTTATTGACATATTATTTATAAAGATCTTACTGTTAGAAACTTACCACAAATAAAAACGGAAGAATTAATGTAAAAAAATGTCCATACACATTTAGGTACATATGAAAATTCGAGAGGCTGCTAATAAGAAGGCGACCAAAAAAACTTAATAAAAAAATTTATAGTTTTATGATTTTTATTTTTCAATATAGTCTCTTTTAAGTGAAATGTTTTTCCACATTGTGAATACAATGCCTAATACCACCGAAAAATATTCTATAGAATTCTCTTTAAAATGGTTTTCTACGGCCGCTTTCCTCTCTCTGTCATCTGAAAACCTTCGTACTCGTACTCCGGACTGTAGGGTGGATGATCAGTTTCTATCATATATAGCATATCAAGCATGCCAGAACGGTGTCAACGGGTGCTTGTCTTAAAGAAACAGCACTTCGCGCGCTAGCCTGCCATGCCTCTTCTGCGCAACTGTTTCAAGTGCCTGACTCAACAAATTTGCGGAACACTCGCTGTTTATTTGTAATTCCCTTTGGCAGATAATCAATTTATGATATTCTCTAGCTGGTCCAGAAAATGTTAGCTATAAACTTCGACGCCTACTTTTCCATTTAAATTTTTTTGGTGCCCTTTTTGAGCATTCGCAGTACCCAACGTGCACTAATTTTTTTTTAATATTCAAATGTTCATGAAAAGTCTCTCCAGCTAGTTCTTTGTTCACCTGTAATCTTTCTGCTATCTGCCAAAATTTAATTCTTCGATCAGCCAGTACACATTTTTTGACATTCTAAACATTTTATTCGGTCCCGACCGTCATTGGGTGCTACGGGCGGGGGTCATCAGGTCTCTCTTCCTTTTGAAACAGCCAAGCCCATATTTTTACCATCGTATGTGAGTCCTGAAGAACCGATAACATTTCTTTAAAATTTCTTTCGGCGTACTTACGTTTTTACAAGAAATTTAATCAAAGCGCGAAGCTCCAAATTGCTATAATTTCTAGTTTCCGTTCCATAGGAACGAAATGTTAATTAACCTAATAAAAAAGTTGGTGTTTTTACACTAATAATGAGTCCCGCAATCACTACCGAGATGATGTGCCATCTCTAACTACCTTAGGTCGTGAAAAAGTCAGCTGACCATCGTAATTGGCTACTTACAGTGGCTAAAGCAATATTCGGCCGAGCTCCTCTTCCAACTTGTAGTGTGCGTCAAATTGAGAGACTTAAACTTCCTTCATATCAGAAATTCGTCCGGGAAGATTGATAATAATTGGCGAGGACATTACAAAAATATAGATATTTATATATTTTTTTATTAATAAATAATTTATGTATAACTATTTGAAAGTTGGTCTGATCTGATTCGAAACGTCACCTTCCACGTGTACATAATTTTATTCTTTTTAACGATTTCAACTTGAAAATTGTAGTCTCTTTAACCTTGATTTCTTCTAAAACAATTAAAACAAAAAATGCATTGAACTTTTATTTTTCATAAATTATTTTTTACAAAAATTATTAGCATCTTTTGGCTTTTGCTGGTAATTCTATCAATTGGCATGTGCATATTTACGGGTCTGCAGGCGATGGATAGATACGAAACCAAAAGCACAGTTATGGGTCTCGAACGTGATTTCTACTTTTGGCGCACACCAGTGGCCAGTTTTACTGTTTGTCCCATGCGACGCCTAAGTCAGGATCTATTCGATAAGTATTGTCAGTAAGTAATTATGGATATGTGTTAATTACCAATTAAACAAAATAAAATTATCTGTTCTGTTGTAAATAAAAACTTAATTCTTGTCTTCGTAAGGAAAAAGAAAATCACTGGCACACATAAGGAGGATTTGCAACTCTTTCTAGAAACATTAGCTAACTCAACGTATTTCAATTTCGCCAATATAACGGTACGTCCGAGTATCGATAGCACCTTGGATCGTTTGCGCTTGAAACCTGCTCAATATATGTCTTTAATATATAATTTGACTACCGATTTTACACAAATGGAGGATGAAAATGAACGTATACGGTTAAATGACGGCTTTAAAAATTTCGTCGTACGTCAAGTGTTAACCGAATTCGGTATTTGCTATTTGGGCAACAGCTATTTACATGATGAGTACACCGCAAGGTATTTATTGTTCGGCAAATATCCGAAAATCAATAAGGAACATGTTAAAATGTTACTGGGTAGCTATTTCGATAGCGTGTTGCTAATTTTATCGGTGCCGAAGACGTTTGAAAGTATTGGTGTGAGTTGGAGATATTATTTGAAGTTAAATTAATTACTTTTAGAATTTTTCGAAATTTCTAAACAGGTTTTCATACACTCCTCGCATGATGCCTTGAAAATAGAGCAAAAGTTCTTTTACACGAACGAAGCCGTATATTATAAAGCCGAGACTAGGGAGATTATAGCTGAAGATGGTTTTGAGAAGTGTGTATAATTTGAAAGACTTGAAACTTGAAAGTTGTCAGAAATATTATTAGATATTCACTTTTTCTCTTCAATATTTTCCAGAGCCACCACAATTGCTCAACGCAATTGTCGCTTTCCGCACGAATCGAATTTGGAACACTTTGAAATTTATACCAAAAGTTTCTGTATGCAAGAATGTCGTCTAAATATGGTTTATAAAAAATGTAAATGTATACCACATTTTTACCCGAATAGAAGTGAGTATAAAGTGAGTTCATTAATAAAATAATATTAATAAATAAGAACATTTTCCTCCAGTTCGTAATCCAAAGCCGGTTTGCTCTTATGCTGCACTGAAGTCCTGTGTGGCCAAAAATGCAGGTAAAAAAGATTTTCACATGAACAGCTAGAATGTAGAAGAGAAAATATTTCGTAAATGTTTTCAATTCCAGAGTAATAATTTATTATTTTATGTTATTGTGTTTTATGTTATTTTATTTTTATTTGATCTGAGTTTTGTATTTCATTAATCGACGAAAAAGATTTTTTTGCTTGGATAGCGTATAACCCAAGGCTACATCGTAACGATGAGTTTCACGGAAATCCAAAAAATGCAATCGTTTCATTTAAAAAACTAGGAAATGTTATCGTTAAAGCAGTTAACAAAATAAATTTTATTTAGTTTTTACTCGAAACGAAATGCTGCCGTTAATGTTCAGTCTTTAACAGATAATGTTAAACGTTAAAATTGAAATGATTCGCTGTTTGTATCGTAACAAAACGCAATGACATCGTTTCTTAAGTTGAGTGTCTCTGATATATGCTGAAACCACCCTGGAAGTGAATCTACAATCTCTGTGGGACAAGCTTCAGTAACGGCATTGGCAAGCGGTGACAACTTCTCATTTACATGGCGCTCTCCTGAGATAGGTTACTATGGCTGGGAGGATGTAAGATGGGTAGTTGCAGCAATAGCCTGAAATTTACTCCATATAGGTTTGCAGAAAACTCTTTATTCTCTTCTTTACAAAGCCCTATTTTAATATTTTTGAAATTCTATTGGGAAGAAAATTATTGACGTAGGATCCTAAAAGGAATAAAGGGGGATGATGATTCAATGATTTTAACGCAGTGGGGTAACTCTTTTTGCCATAAATCCGATATGAATAATTTTTCTTACATTCGGTAGGGCATACTTCGTAAATTGGTCCAAAATAAAATCAAAAAAATAAAGAAATTCTTACATTAAGGTTGAACTAATAAATGGGATTAATTGTTGGCAATTTAGTATTGAGTTTCGTATCACAAATATAGTAATTGGCAATTAAGTATGTAGAGCCATTACAATTAGAAAATAGTAATTAATTAATTACGCAATACGTGCTGGGTAGCGGCACTGCGACCCTTCGCCTGAAAAGGCCCAGTATTTACAGAGTAATGCTCGCCGTTGGTGGGCTCTCGAGTAAGGAAACATGTTGAAGCGTTATAAACCCCAAATTACTCACGTTATACTTACCCTAAAGTTTGTTCACGACTTCGATCGCATGAAATGTTAAGTAGTTTCTAATTCGATTTATATTCGGATTTTACGTTATTTCATTTATTATAACTTATAGACTATTATTTTAAATCGAATGAATAGGAAATAAAAGTCTTTCACATATTAGCGTACGTTTCTCATTTTAAGCAAATCGATCGGATTAATGGGTTTCGGAAAAATGTCCCTCAAAAATAATTTCGATTTTTTCGAATAGATCGGCCCAAGCCTACACCCCATAAATCTCTTTCTTATCAGATGCCTACGCCACACGCAGAATATACTCTCTAAGTTTCACAGCTCTACGATCAATGGTTTCGGTAATGGGTTTATCCGTCAGTCATTCAGGTCAAAGCCTTTGATAATGTAATTTAAGAACTTAGTTATTAAGGTCCTAATTTGATATTCAAAGGAAAAAAGGAAAATGATATTTTTTTGAGACAAATGATCAACATCCGATCATTTCGATGTAAAGAGGTCTTGAGGTCTTGAATCGTGGTTGGCCTGTTTGCGTAGACCCAACGGAAGAATACAAAGATCTCGGAGGCCAGTTGAATTCACCTTTTCGAGAGATAACACGGGCCAGAAACAGAAAAAATCGATCTTCTAGCTGAAAATTATCATTGTCCAAATTTATACTCGATAGCGCAATCCATTCACCGTAACTGTTCCAACATTATTTTCGAAAAAGTAAGATGCAACTACCCCACCGAACCATAAACCGCATTAAACGATTACATCTTGAGGATAGAGGGGCTTTTCAATAATAAATTTTGGGTCCAGCCCAAGATGCGACAGTTTTCAGTTGTTCTTAAATGATAGGCATGTGTTTTATTCTTCATATCGTCCGTGTTGCGGTCCGACGAGATGCTTCACGACGACCGAAAAATGATTTTGTTTCCCGAACCGTCTTTGTCAGATTTTCACGATTTTTCATTTTATGGTGAATTTTGATTATTTATGTGAATCGTTCCATTTTTATAATTGCCGCATTTTTTATTTGTCAAATGTCAAAAAATTACAAAGTGACATCCACTGCAATAGCTATTCCATTGAAAATAGCACCTCTTAGTGGAAAACCCTTTATTTTACTTTACAATTCCTTGGGAGCCCTAATTTTTCTGAAAAAAGATTGTATTTGTATTTTTTCCGATAAAGAAAATTTTCGGCGTTTACACAGTTTGAAAGCTCGAAAGACGGTGCATTGTCATTGCATGGATTCCTGTTTCAATAGCATTGTGGTAGTGAAGAGTGTGGAAGTAAGTCGATTTGAAAAAAATATATATTTCATGGGAAATATGTATATTTGTTCTTAAATTAAGATTTAAATAAAATTTTTAATTACCATAGGTTTTAGCAAATCTCAATGTATTTCAAACTGGTTTCACCGTTGGCGTTGAGGTGACTACCTGGCCTTTGGAATTGTTGAAGCGGCAAGTAATTTTTACTTTCACTGATTTGTTGGGTGAGTAAATGAAGTAAATTTTGGAGAAAGAATTAAGAATTAGTTTAAAATTTAATGTGGTATTAATAACTCATTGCAGTTGCTGTTGGCGGTGCAGCGGGGTTGTTTCTTGGTTTTAGCGTTTTGGGCGCCATAGAATTCTTTTATTATTTCACACTACGTTTATTATGGTATTTAAGAGGTTACAGATATTAAAATAGAACGTGAATAGCAAAGAAGGAGTGGAAAGGAAGGAGTACAAATTTGTTTCCTGTTTTGTCGTTTGTAGTTTTTGGAATATTTAATGAATAATAATAATTGTTTCCATATCCAATTTGTTTACTATATAAACTAAAAACTACTATTATTTACTAAACAACAATTCTCACCTCCAAAAACATCTTTATATTTACACTATGACTTCGCCTTCACTACTAAACTCATTACTGCATAATAAATGTCTGAAATCAATATTCAAATTTTCACTTCCTTCGGAATTTCTCAAAAAAAGGACATTCATCACTTCACATCTATTCATTCATTCGCAATGAGTTTTTGGGTAAAGAACGCCGACGGCTCGACGGATGTAGAGAAGCCACCGCGCATCATGCCGCTTTTCAACCCCGGCCAACGTGAGTTTCTTGAAGATGAGCAACGTTTGCGCTTGCAAATGGAAAAACGCGCGCTAGATGGTGGCAAATCCTTCGACTATTACATACGCAAACAATCGACACTGGACGATGCACGGCTGCTGGACGAGCACGACTCTTTCTATAAGACCACCAAGAGTCTGCTGGTACTCTTTCAAATTATGGGCATAATGCCGATCCATCGCAATCCGCCTGACAACAATTTGCCACGCACAGGCTACTCGTGGAAATCGCGTCAGGTGCTTTACGCCATTTGTGTATTTTCACTCGAGACCTACATTGTGGTTATGGTGTTGCGTGCGCGTGTTAAGAGCTTCATCGAACAGCCCGATAAGCATTTCGACGAGGCAATCTATAATATTATATTTATCAGTTTATTGTTTACTCATTTCCTGTTACCCGTCGCTAGTTGGCGCCATGGGCCCCAGGTGGCTATCTTCAAGAATATGTGGACGAATTATCAGTATAAGTTTTGGCGTGTTACCGGTTCGCCGATAGTGTTCCCTAATCTGTATGCGCTTACTTGGGGCTTGTGCATTTTTTCGTGGACCTTAAGTATTGCGGTAAATGTGTCACAGTATATTTTATAACCGGATTTTGAGTTTTGGTATACTTTCGCCTATTATCCGATTATTGCGATGTTGAATTGCTTCTGCAGCTTGTGGTTTGTTATTATTTGTTGGTGTTATTTGTTCTACATCTCAACTATTTCCACATTCATTGCTTTTAGGTACATAAATTGCAATGCTTTTGGTACAGTCAGCGAAGCTCTGGCGAAGAATTTAGAACTGACTCTAAAGAGCGGTAAGCCAGCGGAAAAGTTGACCGAGTATCGATACCTTTGGGTTGACTTGAGTCTTATGATGCAGCAGTTAGGTAAGTTAATGTGAACGTAATGCCGATATTAGAGTAGTGGAAGTTAGGAAATATTAGCAGAGACTGAACCGTAAGTTTGATATATATATGGCGACGAGCCTGTGCTGATGACAAACGTAAGAAGACGAGATTTGTTTCAGATATGTTTTCTGATTGCCAAGTTGGAAGGTTTAAAGCAGTTCCTTGTATAAGCCATATCTAAGAGGGTCTTCCTACTGACTTTATGCCATTTGATTTGGCTCTGTTTTCTAGAGGATTTAACATATACCTATGCTGTACGTCCAGTGCAATAAACGTACTATCGATCGTTGCGAGCTTACTTACTTGTCACAACGAGTTATACAGAGTTTTCCAATAAGAAGTGTTACTTTGATCGGATGTTTATTCCATTAATGAAAAACAACATCAGCCAAATGTCCGGCACGACTACACCAAATCGAAAAGTGGCTGCTCAATTACTTCACGAACTCCATCTTTGAGGCCATGAATCGACGTTGACCTGTTGGCGTAGAGCTTATCTTTCGCTAGGCCTCAAAGAAATAAGTCCAAGGTGTTAAATCATAAGACCTTGGTGGCTAATTAGGATCACCTCTTCGAGTGATAATACTGTCCGGAGAATTTTTCCTTAAAAGATCGATGGTTTCGGTGCTCGTTTGGTACATAACGCAGTCTTGTTTAAAGTAAACGTTGTCCAGATCAATACCATCTAATTTCGGCTATAAAAATCTTGATCGCGGTATCCATTTACCAGTTCAAACTACCCCCCCCGGACCATAAACCTCACCATACAGTTACACGTCTGAAGCCCCAGATATAACAGTTTTGCATATTGACGTAGCCATCGAGATGGAAGTTAGCCTCGTTATTCGATATGATTTTTCCATGAAAGTCCGGATTATTTTCATACATTTCTAGGACCCAATCAGCAAATACATGACGGTCGGCCAGCTTGAGTTCTTATGTTAACTGAACTTTATAACCCTTAAGACCCCACTCTTCATGCAAACCTGGGGTTTCTACATATTCGGCTACTACAGCAATATTCGCAATTTTTTCTACAATTTTTGTATTATGGCCCGACAAAGTGCTTCACGACGACCATTCATCATTTTTGTAGTGATTTTTTATAATTTCTTATTATTATTGCTTATTGCGAAACTCTTTCAACCAGAAACAGTTTCATCTTTTATTACTTTCCCCACTCTTCCGCAGGTCGCGCATACTCCAACATGTACGGCATGTACTGTTTGGTCGTTTTCTTTACAACACTAACCGCCGCTTACGGATCGATAAGTGAGATTATGGATCATGGAGCAACATACAAAGAAATCGGTCTATTTGTCATAATGTTTTACTGCATGAGTCTTTTATATATAATTTGTAATGAAGCACATCACGCGTCACGAAAAGTCGGCTTAGATTTTCAAACGAAATTGTTGAATGTCAATTTAATTGCTTTGGACACTGCTTCGCAGAGAGAGGTGCAAATGTTTTTGGTGGCTATCTCGAAGACACCACCAATAATGAATTTGGACGATTATGCGAATATTAATCGGGAGCTATTTTCTTCGGTGAGTGAGCGCGGTTGGTGGGTAGGAAACAGAAGTGGAAGATGGAGAGAAGATAAATAGGGGGGTTGCAGAGGATAAGAGATATGTACATATTAACTTCGAATGACAGAAAAAGAGGGCATGTAAAGATTGGGAGTGGAAATTTTGAAATGAAATTTTATATATAAATGAATATGATTTGATGGATTGTTTCTCTTTTCATTTTAGAACATCACCTTTATGGCCACTTATTTGGTGGTACTCCTTCAATTCAAAATTACCGAACAACGTGGCTCACATTCAAATCAGGATGAATTCAATACGATGTAAGAAGAGAATGCAAAATCATTTGGTTGGAAAATACAAGATCTGAGATATGGTAATCATGTTGTTATTGGGCACTACTTTTTCTTATACGCTATTTCAATTGTATTTAATTAAAAAAAATATTAAAATTATTTAGTGAAAACAGAAAATTAACTCTTTTGCTTTCCCCTTTTCCTTCATTAGTTCTCCTTCTCTATGGTGAGTATGTATGTGCGCATTTCCATAGGGCTCAATTCGATCAGGAAACGATCATCATCATTTTTCATATTTTCATCGTGTAATCTCCGTATTGGAACCTTCACTTTGCGCAGCTTTTCAGCGCGTTCACGATTCAACTCTTCCGCCTCGTAGATATTGAACTTCAAACGATTTGTTGTCATTTGCAGCAGCTCCTCTTCTTCTCTTTTATCCCTCTCCACTTCATTATGAAATTTGGCAGCCGCCAACGGTCGATCAGCTCGTAATAACAACTGTTGATCGAGTGATTTCTCATAAACACCGTACGAGTTATAGGCTACCTCGGGTCCATCCGGAATGAATTGCATACGTTGATTATCACCTAGCCAAGCGTTTGCTGATAGCGTAGTTTCGCGCATATCAACTATATTTTGATTTGTCAAAATGTTTTTCACATTAAATTGGACCGCCTGTGAGTAGTCGGGATCTTCATCTTTTTCAAGTATGTGTTCGAAACGTACGAGTATTTCGTTTTCATGCCACGGTTCGTAGCTCATGAGATGGATGTTAGCGGGTACCTCTATGCCGACGCCTGTGTACTGCAAAAATGGTACAGATATATTAATATAAATAATAGTTAAATAATAGACTTTCAGGAGCACTCACAATATTAGTGAAATTTCCACGCCAATCCTCGTAGGAGATATTCTCTGCATTGCTGAAGAAACTCCAGGCAGGTAGTAGCTTTTGCAATTGTGTAAAGCGTTCAATCGCTTGTGTGGTAGGACTTTGGTTTTTTTTAGATGAACCCACTATCAAATAGTGTGTACCTCGTGCCACCAAACCCTCACCATAGGCCGTTTCATTTAGCGCCTCGTTAACACCGAACGCGTCGTCGTGTAATAAACGCCGATGTATCATTAGTTCCAGTGAACCCGCACCCATAGAGCTGCCACCTTGAGCACGATCCGTAAGGATAGCCATGCGTGCGGTGTCATCTTCCAACGCAATTTTTGTGGTAATTGGGTAATAATTGCCAGCTGTGTGCTCCAACAGCTTCAATTTCCAGGTGTCACGATGATCGCGTTTACGTTTGATCATCTCACGTCCGTTTGAGTCGGTGTAGAAGATGTCGGCGTTAATTATATCCGAGTTAAAGCGACTAACGATCTCTTTACCCTTACCGTCGTCCACTGGTATAGGACCTACGAGCCATTCAAATTCAGCATGGCGTTGTTGGCGATAGACGCGCACAACTTGACTAACCCATTCGTTGAATGACTGATGTACCTCCTCGACCAGGTCGCCTCGATAGATTTTGAGTTTCGGTTGTAGAGCAATCGATCGGACTTGATCACGTGCGGGGCGAAAAATGTATGCGCCTGAAGAACGATTACGGAATTCGCGATTATTTCCGGTAGCGGCTTCGTAGTACACAAATTCTTGGTTGACAATGCGGGTCATGCCGTCAGAGGTGACGGTTACGAGGAAACCGTTCGTGTCGAAGTTAAGACGTATAAACTGAAACGTAGAGAGGGTATGCAGTAATTGGAGAAAATAGTTCGAAGGTGAAACAAGTTTTGGTTTACCTCATTGCCAATACTTGTAAAACTTGACTGGTTTGGCGGATCTGGCACGGGTTTCATGTTGTTGCCATTGGTTTTCGTTATGTAATACGACTTATAGCCGAGCGCGGGGAGCTCGGTGGCAGTGAATACAAGCTCATAAGTAGCACTAGATTTGCGGAAGTTGAGATCCTGCACTGGCGCAGGCACTGGCAAAAACTGCGTTTCAATAGTAACATCTGTGGAAGACAGAGAAATCGAGAGATAAGTCGGGTGCTGCTTTCGAAACCCAAGCTATATTTACCATCGAAATCCTTAACAATATAGTTTACATCCGGCACCGGTACACGTACGTAGTCAGTCACCGTCTGAGCCAATGGATTGTATAGTGTCAGCGTGAACTTATCTGCTTGCTCCGGCACGGCGCACGAGCTGATATTGAGCAAAGTGCACGTTTCAAATTTAAATAGATATTCCTTCTTTGGACCAGTAGCCCATCTGCGCTCACGCTTTCCTAATTCTCTTTCCGGCGTATTCCGACTGGTATCAATAGTCAATTGATTCAAAATTTCCTTTGTGTTTGTGGCACAAGCGCGTATCGCGACTTCTAAGTGACGTGCATAATCGGCAGCTACGGCTTGCTTTTCCGTGCCCGTCACAGCGTCGTGATGTTGCATTACGCCCATTGCTTCACGTAGAAATGAGAGATGCGGCTCGAATTGACCAGCAATTTTCGGCGCCATGGCGGTAAGCTGCTTACAAACCTGCAAGAAATGATTACCAACACGCTCGTATCGTTTAAGCGTGGGACGCGATGTGAAATAGCCAGTCCAGTAGGCATGCGGATCCGAGGCGTAAGGGAAGAAGTCATCGTCTTTGGTCGGCCAAGTGATGCCGGCGTCGTGTAGTGATTTCAGGTAACACGAAGGTGTGGAGTACAAGAGATTTACATTTGATCCATTCTCCTGTCGGGCATTTGTGTATCTACGGGGAAATATGAGGAAGTTACATACATACATATTTTGAGTATACAATAATGGGGTAAATACTGACTCAAAGTTGTTAAAGGTTGCTGAAAGTAATTTTGGTAACATTGCTGCTTACTCACTTGATTAACTTATCGAGATTCTTGTACCAACTAATCGCATTTTGATAGTGAAAATCTTCACCCATTGTGACGAGTATATTATTTGTGCGGTAACCTTTGGACATATTACGTGAAATTGCGATGAATTCATCGACCTAGAAAATATAGAACATAACATAGAAGAGGAGAACTCTGCTAAAATAACTTGCAGTGGGACGGGGAAAGCACTACAAATTTGATTTATAAGAGTTAGTGGAATGTTGATGCGTTAGTTGCGCTGCAAGAGTACGACAAGAAAGCTCACAGTAGAGCTAATTTTCCAAGTTTCTAAGGAAATATTTTTAAACCAGATGTTGGCCACGACTTGGTCCGCATGAGATTCTAAGACTTTTACATTGTTTCTTTTATTATACCCCATAAAATACTACATCAAAAATATATGAAAAATATTAAAAATTTTCTCACATATTAGTCTAGTCCAGATAGCAAGTTTTCAACTTCTACATAGTGGCCATGACAGAAAACCACCTACGGAAGTTTCACCTATTAACCCCACTATCGATTCGGCTAGAACCACTTCGCGGAAGAAAAAATGTTCATCATATGAATTTAGGCAAGGAGTTATCTTTGTACCAAATTTCATGTAAATGAAAGGATTTAAAAATAAAGTCGCTTCCTTCGAATATATTGGTCCCAAGCCCACTTCCCGGAAAATCCTTTCTTATCAGATCCATACGTCCGGCTTAGGTATTGTATATAAATTTATAATTTAATAATTAATTAATATTAATATCAATATTTTTTTTATCCAAAATCAGCAACCTTTTCTTCAACTTTAGTACTTTCATATTATTTTTATTATAGTTTTTTGCTTCCAAAAATTTCAAACCTCATCAATTTATCCAAGTTTTTAAAATAAACATTGGCGTCTTGATATGTAAAGTCACCGCCCATCGTTAGGATAATGTTGTTAGTGCGATAGAATTGTGCTTGTTGATCAATGAATTTTAAAAAGTCATTTACCTAGAGGAAATTGTGACAGGTAGGAGTTAATTTCGAAAAATAACAGTATATTTTTAGAATTTGTGTGTGCTCTAAAGAGAGCCCATTTAATATTCCGCTCAGGAATTTTAGATTTCAAAGCAAAGTAACTTACACGGCGATTGACATTATTATCAGGGCTGTGCTTGGCATCAATTATCGGCTCGTCGGCACAGAGAATATCAAAGCAAAAGCCCGGTGGTGGCTGATATTGATTGTAGAGAGCGCCAGTAAAGAGGTGAGCAGGCTCATCTGATATAAAAATATGTAAAAATAAGATTGTATTTGAATTGTACATAATTTTTGCCTAATAATTATATAATATTAAAAAAAAAATAAATTAAATTAAATAATTTGGATTTAAAGTGAATAAAACAAATTTAAATAATATGATATTAAACAAAGTAAAATGAAACGAAATAAAAATAAAAATAATTTAAATAAAATGACCTAAAATTAAACTAAATAACACGAAATAAAGTAAATCATATTTAAATAAAATAAGTAAAAAAAAAAATAAAATAAAAAATTAATAAAATAAGATTAAAATGCACTTAAAGAAAAATAAAATTGAATAAATAAAATTGAATAAATAAAATTGTAAATTTTTAATTTAGATTTACCCAAATTAGCTGATGCACGCCATATCATCTCTGCCGACTTGGTTGTCAACCGTTCCATTTTATCTTGATAATCAAGTCGTCCAAAGAAGAGACCATCAAAACCCATTTGTGCGAACATCGACGCCATTTCACGAGAGTGACCGAACGGATCGATCTGCCAGCCAACGCGTGGTCGCGCACACTCACCGAAAGTGTCGTTGAGTCGCCTATATAACGTACAACAATAGTTGAAAAAAATTAGAAAATGTAATGTCGAAATCTTATGCTTACCGCAATCCCCAAGTAAATTGATCAACAATACTCTGATAATGCGCCGTTGCCTCGTCATTCATACTCCAAGCGCCACCGATAAATTCAAGACGTCCCTCATTCACCAACATTTTCACTTGCTCCTGCAACTCGGGGGTCTGTTCTCGCCACCATTTGAAGAAGAATGCCGATTCGACATAGATGAAACGCTTTTCAGAGTCTTTCAGTAGCTCCTGCACTACAGAGTCCAATATATATTGTACGCCAGCTTTTTGTATGAGCGTTTGACTACCATAATAATATTGATCGACAGTCTTTAGCCAACCGACATCATCGTGGGTGTGTGGTACGAGATGGACATTAAGCATGTTCGGCTTGGTTTTAGGACAACTCTGAAGTTGTGGTGGTAATGAAATAAATATGAGTTTGATTTGTGTCAATAGAAGAATTGAATATTTTTTAAAGATACAAGAAAAAAAGCAGGAACAATACTATTTATAGGAATTTTCTCATTCAACGACAATTATATGTTGACAAAATATGTTGACAAGGTAAAAAAATAAATTCCTGTGAGGTTGAAATACAGATAAATTTCTTCACAGATAGATGATCGTTGGCGAAACTTTCGGAACTAAAACATCACCACCATAATAATCTTTAAACACTACTTTAATTTAGAAAATAAATTTAATATTGCAGTATCGCAATTCTTAATCAGCTTAATTAAAACGCTATAAACCATGAAAAATAAAAATCAACATTACAGGTTTCGGCTCCGTTGAAAGATGCCATCCCGAAGTGTGTTGTATCAACTTATATAAAATATTAAATTTCCATTCATATTATTGAACTGGTAACGTTCTTGTATGAATATATATAAACATTCAATATTTGGCATTTAAGTTTTACTTCGGCTAAGCTAGTTTTTATCTACTCACGAAGGTGCGTATGGGATAAAGTCAGAGATTAATTTATTTTTCACATCTCAATAGGTCTTCCAGGTTAATGTAAACTCAAACGCCAATAACGTTAAACATTCAAAATAGCCAGCCCAGCTTCGCATCAATTTTTATATCTGTCTATTGATGCCGTACGCAAATAGATATTGTAAGATCGTCATATGTATGATCTATCGTTAGATTGAGACAGCTATAGGTAGTAGTGGACATAAATGCGTGCTGATTGGACGAGAAACAAATACGAGTGTTGACAAGTGATGCAATAACGCATATGAACCCCAACGTAACATCAATTTGTATTTGTATGGGGGACGAGTATAGTCGACTTGGTATCGAAAAACTTCTTCTTATTCCCGTAAGCAAAAACTAAATTAAATTAAACTAAAACTAATTGAGAGAATGCATGTTTTGGATATATATCATTCAAGGTGGCAATGCTTCGACAATTGGTTCAAACACTTGAAAAAGTGTATAGACCTTAACAGAGAACTACTTTAAAACTACAGAGCGATTTTCGATTATTACTATTTCTTTTTGTTATCTAACCCTGATATAAAAAAGGAATTCTCGTAAAAGCTATATAGATCTACATTAGACGAGAGACCTAAGGTTACACCTTCTTCTTCTTTATTTGCGTTGGTACCGCTTACGCCGATTCATTCTTATCGCGTCATTCCCCTTTTCTTTTCGTCAGCTGGAAATACCATGTGAAGCTAGGTCACTCTCCACCTGATCCTTCCAACGGAGTGGAGGTCTTCCTCTTCCTGTTTCCACCAGCGAATACTTTCAAAGCTGGAATGCTTTCATCCATTCGGACGACATGACCTAGCCAGCGTAGCGGCTGTCTCTGCTCGTACAGCTCATTGTTCCATCACCTACGCCGATTCACAACTCGTAGAGGGCCATAAAACGTTTGCAAAACTTTTCTCGAAAACTTCGAGGACCGGTATGTTGAGCGACCGGTAGAGTTTGGTTTTTGTTCGCCAAAGTAATATCTGTTGGCAAGAGTGATTCTGCGTTGGATTTCAAGGTTGGCGTCATTATTTATATTAATGCTGGTCTCTAGATAGACTAAATTATCTACCACGCCGAAGTGACTGTCAACAGTAACGTGATAGCCGAGTTGCGAGAGCGATGACTGTTTGTTTAATGACAGGAGATATTTTGTCTTGCTCTCATTCACTGCCAGACCCATATACTTCGCTTCTTTATCTAGTCTGGAGAAAACAGAACTAACGGCGCGGTTGTTGAGGCCAATAATGTCAATATCATCGCCAATACCATGTACGTATCTTCGAGAAGTTGTCAGTTACAAAAGACCTACCGAAATGAACAGATTGTTCGTGAGAAGAAATATATTTATTTCCCATAATAAGACGAAAATTCTAGTGCCAGTCCTCAGGGACCGACGTAGGTCACACGGTCCCTGAAATAGGTTCTCTTTACGATAGTAAAAATTTTGTAAAATTAGAATCATAAGTTTGACACATAGTTTTCGTGATTCTGCAGCCCTTCGCTCATTTCTAAAAACTATTCCAATAAAATATTTTGCAGCCTTGTATATTAACAATTAAGTGTACTCTTTGACACTTATTTTAATTTGTATGCATAGCTATACGATTCTATAAGTGTTTATATTTAAAAATAAAACAAATATTTATGCCAATAAAACTAATATCGGCTCGGATATTTGATCTATCTTTTGTTTACTCAATAGATGTTTGTTCAGTTACTTGTTTTTGTTATTTAATTTGTACTACGAATTACAGAACAATACAATTCAGAAGAAATACATTGTAAGAGTCGAATGCGGCAAGTAATATATAAAGGTAAGTGTATACATATATATTTATATAATTGGTGCTTTGGAACTGCTGACGCGATTTTGGGCCGAGCTCCTCCTTCAATTTGTGATTTTGCGTGTTGATGTTTTTCCAGCAAATGGAGGGTTTACTAAGTCGCCTCCGAAAGGTTGATGGCTTTTTACGAGGAGCCTTTGTTTCATGTCCGAAATCCTATTGGAGGGGCGACCGCAATTACAAAATTTTATCTAGTTTTTGATTTAAATTAATTTTCCATTTGAACCCGAGCCTTCCGAATGTCAGTACGCAATGCTAACCACTCGGCTACCGCGGCCAATAAGCAAATATAGTCAATAAATTGATATACATACATAAATAAAAATGTTGGCAGACGTAACAATTAATTAATTTCGAACTGTATGCCAAAATATGAGATTTGGTTATTTAGTTTCCGTAAATTTAGTTTCAATTTCTGGATTTATTTTCCGTTTAAATCTGGTGGCTTTTGGGGTCTGACGGGGGTGTCAAATGAATAGAAGAAGACTGATATTGAAAATAAAAAGATTATTTCATCAAATTTTTTTGCTATAATAACAGAAATTGTGGATTGGCAGAACTAACACATAAGCAACTTTTTTTGTTTAACTTTCTCATCTGAGTACATACAAATTGAAGGAGAATGCAGTTGAATGGATAATCCAGTTTTATGTTCTTATTTCGAGTAGAACGCCATTTTTATCATTTTCTCCGTAGCAGATAGCAGAGGCGTAAAAAAGTGGAAAATATGGATAAAGATCCTATATAAGCTGTGGTAATAATATAATATATATATATATAATATATTGTCAAATAATTAACTACTTCAGTTTTCATTACTTTTTACATTGTTTTATTTAAGGGTACTCCATATTGTACGGAAAATTCGATTAATGGAGCATGTTGACTGGAATGGACGCTCCTCATCTTGCAGCAGTGACATGAATAACATTATAATTCAAACATTATAATTTTTTTTTAATTGTACATCTTTATATTTCAAAGGACCTGTGATTATGACGGGGACGTTAGTAAAGCTGAGGAGCTGCGTCACCCACGTATGGCACTATTAAAGACGTATGTATATGTGGCTTTGCTTATAATATATTTTGAATAATTTTTAAAAAAGGAATTTATTGTTGTATTGTTATTTCTTTAGTATGCTATGTACATGATTTATGTAAAAGATTGAAATAAAGACTGAATCTTAATGTTTGTATGTAGCCTTGGCCAATAGTATTAGACACCCCACTAAAATACAATGTGGCTGTCAAAGTTACTACTTCTTTTTGTGAATGTCTTACATAGGTGTTTAACTGTTGATTAAACGAATAAATTGTGTAATATTAAAAGTCATAGCGCTCTGGGTAAGCTAAGTCTAAAAATTGTAATTTTTTGAAATTCATAAATTATTTTCACATTTAAAATTTGAAAGTGAAAGCGTAAATCACATTTAGTGAAAAAAAGTGAAATAAGTTACTATGATAGAGTTAGAATTCAAGTTCTAAGTGATAAGTCTCAGTTTGAGATTGCCGATTTGGTGGTGCGCGGTCCAATGTGCTATCAGGCGATTTGTGGAGACGAAATTCCACAATAAAAAATCAAAAAATGGAAGAAGACGGAATACTTATATGCGTGTCTCTCAAGGATCGCAAAAAATCTTCTTCTGCCCTTGTCGCATGGACAGCCAAAGTGCATACATGTATTAGAAGCTGTTCTGCCTTCGTTAACGCGTTGGTTTAGAGATAACAATATTGTTTTTTTAGATTGGCCTGCACAGTCTCCAGATTTGAATCCCATTGATCACATGTGGGCTAGTTTAAAACGCAAGAATAAGGAACACAGTATAACATCAAAAACTGCTTTAAAGAATACCATAATTAACGAGTGATACGCTATAAGTCCGGACAAATGTGCAAAGCTTGTACGCAGAATGTCTAAGAGAATAGCTGCCGTTATTAAATCTAAGGGTGGATTTACTCAATATTAATGATATTATCACTATTTCATTGTATTTTCACTGTTTTACTAATGAAACTTCATTACTTCACTGCTAAAACAAAAAATTCGGTAATTAGTGCGGTACCTAATACTTTTGGCCAAGGCGGTGTAGGGACTATGCCCCTCGGCTGTGTTCTGTTTGACCGACAAGAATGACGCACAAGGAAACGAAAAGGGAATGGCGTACACGTATACAAATGTAAGCATCACGTTTGCAATATCGGCCTTAAGAAAGTGATAGTAAAGTTGTTCTGTGAGCTGACGGGATATATCGTCATCCATTCCTCACATATTTTGGCTCAAATGATCGGAAGCCTTCTTGCAGGGATAAGTATGTTGGCTCAAGTACCTTTTATACAATAATGAAAAACATCGTTATTCGTCAAAAAAGCAATATTTGTTATCAATAAATGTTCATTAAGCACAGTAAATTTAAAATTGAGAGAACGTATTAATAATATTTGTTGAATCAATTTTATTTTGTAAAATAATCCTAAAAGAAAACTTTTTCATCGAATCATCATTGGGATGTTCAGGGCGCTCTCACAAGATAGAGAACTTAGTAAGAACTTATCTTTGGTTAGAGTTGCTCGTATCTGACGGCAGCTACAATACGTTATCAGTCACCCGGTAACCATTACAAAAGATGTTTTGCCGTTTTCGATATTCACAAATTTTTTCTGCACAAAACAAAGGATTATTCATGGCAAATTGCTGATTTGAAGACCGATGTTGTGCTGATTCTTTAAAAATTGCGCAACTTTATTTTTCACATTAAGTTTTTGATATTTTAAACATAATTTCATTCCAGAATAATTTACTAAAATTCCTCTTTGACAATATTCAAATCCTTTGACAGGAAATGCAAGAGAAATAAAAATTGTTAGTGAACCTCTAGCAATATGGAATTTAATATCTAAAACCAATTATTTCAGGAATTACCGAAATTAAATTCAGGAAGCCACATGTCGAAATTTAAATTTTTCAACAGCAACGCGCATGAAGGAAATAAAAAAAATTTATTAGCAAAATCCTAAGTTTTTATTTTTCGTCTTATGTCATTTTCGAATTTTGAACTTATTATGATGTACACACTTTACATTTGTCGGTAAGTAAGTGAGTAAAAATAAATACTCATTAATAAAATTATGTATGCACATATATAGATACATACCAATATTTATGTATTCACAAAACACTTTCTTATCACTCACCTCATAACCGCATTTTTTGTCAACCGTAATTTTTTCATGTTCTACGGTCTGCGGACGCGCCTCACACAACTTGTTATGATTATTATTCCACAAACATATCAACAGAAAAACAGTAAAAAGTTGAAGGGCACTGCCGAACTGGTATCGGCAGCAACTTGCAGTTGAATGCATTTTTTTCGTTAAGACTTTTGGATGCACATCAATGGATAATATCACCTTCCATACACAATTACACACAGTCCAGGGAAGTGCTCTCTATAAAATATTATTGCGCAGAGCCGGCTTCTGAGGCTAAATAAAACCAAAAAAAAAAATCAGAACTTGAATTCGCAACAAAAGAACACAAAAACTAGAAAAAGTTCAACGAAATGTAGAATCCCGTGGAATGAAAGTCCACTTAAGCCACTGATAAAATCTATTATTATTCGATTTACTTTTATTTCACAAATGAACGTTTACAGCGAACGCTAGAACTTTAGTCGACAAATCTCGGGTGGCCACTGAGTGGCTAAGTGCGCTTACATTTGCATAAATAGCCGCTAAGCTAGGTTTAGCCTTGAGAAATACTCAAATGCCTGTTTGAGTGATTGAGTTAGAATGTAGAAAGTTGAGTGAAATTGGTTCGGCTTTCTTTCAAAATTGTGTACCGTTCCTTGACTGGAATATGTTAATGAATATGTGATTTTTTAATTCTGCTGTCCATATATTTGAGTAGATATGTACAATATATGTAAAGACAACTAATGTTTGGAAGTTTTCAAAAAATGTAATAAAGGAAAATGAGCTTAAATATAAAATACGCAAAACCAAAGATTAAGGAATCCTCTGTAGAAAGATAAAGTGGAAACAGTGTAATAATTGACCAACAACTCTCAACTACTTCTAAGTACTTAGGTTTTTATATTAGCTCTTACGAGTATTTGAATATCCAACTAATAAGCTAAAGAAGTAAAAGGTAATTTTTTTTTTTTCAAAAATAGTGTATGTCTTAAAACAATCCTAATAGAATAATTATAAATGATACGATGTTTGCTTACTAGATCAAATATAAATTATTTAGTTGTTTGACAACCAATTCATTTGAAGTATTTTTCTTTATCTGGATGCGTCTTTAGCCCATTTAAGCTATATTTTCAGCTATGTGAAAGTCACGAAAGTACTTTCAAATAAATACTGTAAATAAAGGGAAAAATTAAGTGTCTTTCTGGCGTTGCAAAAAGTAAGATTCATTCAGTTCACTAAATAAAGTGGTATTCGTTGATTTCTTGGTTATACTCGTACTATAATACAATAGCAATAAACGAGCACTACAAATCAAATATGACTTTTTAAAATATACTAAATACTTTAGCGGCCTTTACTATTTATTAAATATTTTTCTTTAAATTAATTTTATTGCATTTCCATTTATATTATTTTATTTGATTTTGTGTTATATTAAGTCATTTTATTTTATTTCATTTTAATTTTGTGAAATTTATGTTGAGTTATTTTATATAGTTTTATTATATTTTATATGATTTTTTGTCTTATTTAATTTTAATTTATTTTATTTTGATTTGCAATATTTTATTTCTTTTTTTCATTTTATTTTACTTTGTTTTATTTTATTTCACTTCATTTCTTTTTTTCTTTATTATATATATTCCATTCTATTTTCTTTATTTCATTTTGTTTTGTTTTATTTTATTGTTTTTTTTTGCTTTATTTAATTTCTTATAGTTGGTCTTAATTTGGTTTTGTTTATTTTTCTTTATATGTTTTACATTATGTTATTATTTTTTATTTGATTTATTGTGTTTTATTTCATTTAAATATATTTTATTATATTTTATCTCACTCGAAAGCGATCATGTTCCAAGCATGATGAAAAGCCACACACCACTTTAAAGGCTGATATTCATTAAAAGACGATAGTATTATCAGTTTCATGGGATTGGAAGCGTGTGGCATATTTTGAGCTACTTCCAAGAAACCAAACGCTTAATTCGGATGTCTACTGTGAACATCTGGACTAAGTGAATACATCCATCAAAGAGAAGCGGCCAGAATTGGTCAATCGCAAAGGTGTCACATTACACCAGGACTATGCTAGACCGCGAACATCTTTGATCACTCGCCACAACCTGTGAGAACTTAGCGGGGAACTGTTGATGTATCCACCATATAGCCCTAACCATGCACCGTCAGACTACCATTCATTTTGATTTTTACAGAACTCATCGAATGGTAGAATTTACGAAAATGACGAAGCTATAAAATCGCACTTGGTACAGTTTTTTGCAGATAAAGGTCAAAAGTTCTATGAGCACGGAATAATGATGATGCCGTAAAGATGGCAAAAGTTCAGCCACCAAAATAGAAATTACATAATTAATTAAACTTCATTATAAAATTTGAAAAAAATTTATTTACTTTGTGTTAAAAAATCGACGGTTTCTTGTGGGCAACCCAATACATACTTTGTTTTGATGGCTTCAAGACAACAGCAGGAGATGTTTATTGATATTCTTTTCCAACTCATATTTATATTTATGTATATAGGACTTATATTTTTGCTATGTTTGTTATCAGCTAAAAATTTGCCACATAATTTAAACTATTGTAAGAAGAAATACTCAAAAAAAGTGTATATCAACGACGTGCCTCTTCTACTATTTCAAAACTCACTCAGCCGCTTGAGTTTACTATCTACTCAGAATTTACTCATTTGGTTTCTTATCAATAAAGTCCATTTTCATGTTATTTCTATTCGATTTCAAATACTTAAAATTTTTATTTTATTTACAAGAATTTAAGTATTTTGTGTATAAAAAGGTTTCTCTTGTAGTTGTCGAGCATTAGTAGTTCTGATTTCAAGAGTCACGTTTGACTGCAGTAGTGAAATGACTAACAACAAGTGTTTTATATACACGTAATTACATTTTTCTTAATGTTGTGGCAGTCAACTTGTGCAAGTGAAATGCGTTTATTTAGTGGTTTAGTTACAATTTTTGTGGTGCTCGCGTTGAGCTTGCGAGCACAGCAAATCCAAGCCGCCTGTGGCTATGCGGTGGGTTAATGACACTATTTTTAATTAATTGAATTGTTTTTTTTTTTGTAATTTGGTTTTTAGTGAAGGAAAAGTGCTCCTCAGAAAGAAAAAGGGGGAGAAAGTGTTTAAATTGTTCTCAAGCGTATGCTTAAACTTAAATACAAGAAATGTGTTTGTTTTCTAGTTTAGCAAATTGCGTGCTGTGAAATTGAGTTTTATACTCATACTTGCGTATACCTGTATATATTTAAATCAATTGAAATTTATTGCTCGCAATGCTAAGAAATATTTCTATAAGTGAGATTCTTATGAGAAATAATGCTCTTTATATAGAGGAGAATATATTATGCGTTGAGTGTTTATTTCTGAGCAAAAGGCACAGAAGGCAAGAGCAAATAAAATGCATTAAAAACCAAACGATTCCTAAAACTGTTTCTCTTAGCAGCAAGTGAAATCAGTGAGTCAAAGGTTACTCGGAATTTCAAAGAAAAGAAAAAAAACTGTGGATAAAGAAGATGTCTACCTTAATGAAGCTTGTCCCATGCAAAATCATATGAGTCAACATTTAGTTTAATCTCAAACCAAATTTAAAAAAGCTAAGGTACGTGCGAAAATCTTATCGCCAATTTTAAATCAATTTGCATTCATAAATCTAACATGCTTTTGATAAGATACAGTTTAATGTTTCATGCCGTTTTATTAATTTTTAATAAGCGCTTACCTTTTATTACTTCAAATTTAATCTACGGAAATGATTTGGTAGTCAACAAATATGATCGATATTTGAGTTATCAGATTTTATTCTACTACTTAAGTAGTTATAAACAACGCAGGGAGCCAGTGAACTTTATACTCCTTTAATATGAGACTTACAGATAAGAATTATGTTTAAATAGCTAACACTTTGGAACAGCTGAATAGATTGTCGGTTGAGCTCCTCCTTCAATTTGTAATTTTTTTTTTTTAACATCGGAAAACACTTAGAGTGGTGCCTCAAATGGAAGCAATAACTAAATTATTTATTTAAATTAATTTGTTGTAGTTGTTGAGCCCGGCACGTTTCTAATGACAGTACGCACTGCTAACTACTCGACCACTGCGATCGTAGCATTACTACAGTAACAAAAAGGAGTCAAACTTTCTTTTTTGGAAGCAAGGCAGTTAAAGCTATTATTATATTTATAGTCGATAGAGGACTTGACACAAATCCCCGATGTAGTAAATTAATCAAACATTTTAAAAAAAAATTTTTTATTCACCTAATGCACCTGGACGAATCGCATTCGTCAATTAATAGATTAAGTATTGCAACATGATCTCATTTCGCCTCACCAAGGCAGTACAACTGACAAAGATCTGGAATTAAAAAAATACGAATGCCCAACTAACTTGGAGGAGGTAAGTGATCCACCAATTCCTCAAAATGTGTATGACAAACATGTACGTGAACACCAATATTTTCTTCATCTGGTCAAATGTGGCGATTAAATTTGCTGTCTTAAACTGAGTGGATTTCTTGCACCATCTATTTAAATTGAACGAACAACGACTTCCTTAGTAGCAGCTGCTCCTAAAAAATGCTGGATTTTTTCATTGTTTTTGCACGTCTAGTTTTGAAGATTTTAATCATATGTAAAAGTCAAGAAATACTCTACGGTTTTCATTGTTCCTCTGTACCGAGAGCTTTAAGCAATGGTACAAGTCCAGTACGTAGCATTCAACTCGTTTTTTTTTACTACCATTGAATGGCTTCCCGAAAAGGACGTTTTTATTGATGAAGAAATATCAGATGAGTCAGAAAATGAGGCTATACCAATAATAGAAAATTTTTAAGACTGGAAAGTTTCACCGTGGACAGAAATTTGAAGTGTATTTATTCTATATATCTAATTGAATTACACTTTTGTATATTTTTATGTTATTTACTTGAGCTAAAAAGTTTCTTTTCATTTTCTTTTTTATTAACGTGAGCACCGCTTACGCGATTATAGCCGAATCAGCAATAGTCCGCCATTCGGTTCCTTTCTTCGCTGTTTGAAACCACGTCGCTCTGCATCTGTTTCTTTCAATAGAGCAGAGGTGTTCCTTTTCCTTTTCTTCTACTATCGGGTAGTGCATCGAATACTTTCAAAACTGTAATGCTTTCATCCATTCGGACGATATAACCTAGCTAGCGTAGCCGCTGTCTTTTGATGCGCAAAATTATTTCAATGTCATCGTATAAATCGTACAGCTCATCATTCCATCGCCTGCGGTATTCGCCCTTGTCAAAGGCCAAAGGTCCATAAATCGTAAATACGCACCATATATATTGAATAGACGAGAGTTGAGTCGCAAATGCGATTATTCTTTGTTTGATGGCCGGAGGAGGCAGAACTCACGGCTCGCTTGTTGTAACGATTGATATTAATATAATCGGCATACGCCGGCAGTTGTACACTCTTACCAAAGATTGTAATAAGTCTAACTCTGTAGCTCTTATTATTTTCTCCAGAACCGTACTGAAGAAATCAACCTTTCTGAAATCTAGTTTCTTGTCAATCCTGACTGCGCTTCTAGTGTTGTCAGTGTACATAGCCGTATAAGTCTTACCGGGACACCAACGTCAGACTATGGAGCGTAGAGATAGCTCCTTACTGTGCTGTCGAAGGCATTTTTTAAATGCAAGAAATGGTGATGAGTATCGAATCTTTTTTCATGGGTCTTTTCCAAGGCTTGGCGCATAGTGAATATCTGGTCAATGATTTACCAGATCTAAAGCCACACTGATAAGATCCAATGAGTTTGTTGATGGTGGCGTTTAGTCTTTCCCATAGTACGCTCAATAGTACCTTATATACGATATTTACGGCAATTGACACAGACTGTGGGATCCATTTTTTATGGATTGGGCAGAGTCGCAGTATTTGAATAGTTCTGCCGGTAGGCCGTAAGCTTTGCTGTTTTTTATACGGGTAATCGCTATTCGATACTCATCCATCGTCATCGATTCTGATTTCGGGCTCATCATTTTCGGGTGTTCCATTTTCACGGTCATTCAGCGAGTGTTCCCTCCATAAATGCAGTATAATCTGAGCATCACTCAATAGATTACCTCTCTGGTTCCTACAAGAGTTTGGTCCTTCCTTGAAAGCTAATGTAAGTCGCCGTATCTTTTCGTAGAATTTTCGAGCATTGCTTTTCAAATTAGTTTGTTTAAATAAAATCTGTGCTACTGAGCAATAATTAGCGATTCTTAACTTGTAATTTGTAATTAAAGGTATGAAAATTACCATTCAATAATTGTTCTTAATGTTGTTCTTCGGTCTCATACAAATAACAATTAAAAAAAATGATAAATACATATTTAAATATCATCTTAATTCTCTATAATTTTCGTTTTCCACAGAGTTGTCCAGCGGGAAAATCGAATATGATTAATGTCCATTTGGTACCACACTCTCATGATGATGTCGGCTGGCTAAAGACTGTCGATCAATATTATTATGGATCACGTAATAACATACAACAAGCCGGCGTAGAGTATATACTCGATAATGTGATACAAGAGCTGCTGAAAAACGCTAATAGACGGTAAAGTTAAATAAACAATTTTTTGTTTTAGAAAAAAACGAAGAATCAGTTACTCGTATGGACAAATGAATTCAACTCGAAAAGATTAATTAACAACTGAATAACAACTTTCATTGGGCAAAATAATTAGATTTCAGGATAATTAGATTTCGATTTAGCATTAACGAAATTATTACTAATAAGAAAATTATTTATTAATCTGAAAAATCAAATGTTTTATGAGAATTATGATTAATAAGGCAAACTTTCCAGCTTTATTTACGTCGAATCCGCGTTCTTTTTTAAATGGTACAACGAACAAACTGCCGCCATGAAATCGGATGTTAAGAAATTGGTCAACAGCGGACGTTTAGAGTTCGCTGGCGGCGCTTGGTCAATGAATGATGAGGCGGCTGTGCATTACCAGTCTGTTGTAGATCAATTTACAATCGGTTTGAAGTAAGTATTCCACGCTGAGCGTGCTAGAAGCTCTTAATGACCATGTAATCAACGTACATTGCATATTCCAGGCAACTGCAGGATACTTTTGGTACCTGCGGGCGCCCACATGTTGGCTGGCAAATTGATCCTTTCGGACATTCCCGTGAAATGGCGTCTCTTTTCGCACAAATGGGTTTCGATGGACAGTTTTTTGCTCGTATGGATTGGGTGGAGAAGGGAGAGCGCTTAAGAAATTTAACTGCCGAAATGATATGGAAAGCCAGTGCAGATCTTGGCACAAGTGCTGAGCTTTTTACAGGTTTACTATACCAGCACTACTCGGCGCCACCTGGTTTCTGCTTCGATACACTTTGTTCCGATGCACCCATCATTGATGGCGATAGCTATGATAATAATGTGAAGGAGAGGGTAAGCATTTATTTGACAGTATTCCGCTTAGAGCGAAAGAAAGAGAGATAGAGAGCGGGTTACAAATTCGTCTGAAAATTTGCAGGTTGACACTTTCATCGAATACATATACAATGTGACCAAGAATTATCGTTCCTCCCACGTTCTCATTCCCATGGGCGATGACTTTAACTATCAGAATGCGGCGATGAATTTTAAAAATATGGACAAGTTGATTAAGTAATATTGAATCAAACGCTATATGAAAGGTTCATTGAAATTTATTAATTCTTTTTCCTTATCCTTCCAGATACGCCAACGAGCGCCAATCGCTTGGCTCTAAAGTAAACCTCTTTTATTCCACACCCGCCTGCTACTTGAAAGCCATACATGAAGATCCGCTCACCTGGCCACTGAAAACTGAAGACTTCTTACCCTACTCGACTGATTGGCACACTTACTGGTCCGGCTATTACAGTTCACGTCCTACACAAAAACGCTTCGAACGCGATGGTAATCATTTCTTGCAGGTCACCAAGCAGCTCACCACGTTTGCTAACCTCACCGGCACCAGTGCAGATAGCAATTTGGACAAGCTTCGACATGCCATGGGCGTCATGCAACATCATGATGCCATCACCGGCACCGAAAAACAACATGTGGCACAAGATTATGATCGTTTACTGGCTGCGGCTATTGAGTCGGCACAAACGAATGCTCGTTTGGCGCTGCAGCGACTAACGAATCTTACAAATGGCGAGTTTGTCAGCTGCCTGCAGTTAAATATCAGTGTCTGTGAATTTACTAAAGATGGTGCGAATCAAGTTGTGGTGACCTTGTTCAATCCACTGGCTCGTCCATCTACACAATATGTACGAGTGCCGGTGAAAAATGAGGCTTACATTGTGACTGACGATAGCGGTAAGATATCAATGCTATAAATTGTTATTTTTAGAGGTTATACATATATCTTTTTCATAATAAGGTCGTGTGGTGCCATCCGATTTGCTACCCATCCCCAATGAGGTGCAGAATTTGAGTTTCCGCGCAAAGCAGGCAACACATGAGCTCGTTTTCTCAGCCTATGTGGAGAAATTGCGCAACTACTATATAAAAAAACGAATTAACAGACGCAGTGTTAATGAGCCAGAAAGGGATGAGTCTAACGAATTGTTGGCTGGAAGTGATTTGGAGAAGGATATTCAGACGCGCGCAGAGATCGTTGTTAAAAATTCGGTGAGTAGGCCTGAAAGTCTTACAAAGAAGAAAAAATTAAAAAATTTTTATTCATCTGTATTCTGCAGCTTGTTAAATTGACCTTTGATGGTACGGGCCATCTAAACAAGGTTGAAATGAACGGCATTACTGAAAACATCCGGCAGGACTTCTATTACTACAAGGGCGCAGCGGGTAACAATGCGGAATTCAAAAACCGTTCTTCGGGCGCGTATATCTTCCGTCCAAATGGTACGGAGTTTCTCATCGGCAGCACGGTCAGCTTTAGCATTTACGAAGGCGCGCAAGTGAAAGAGATACACCAGCGCTTCAACCCATGGGTCTCACAAGTCATACGTCTGTATGAAGGCCTCAATCGTGTAGAGTTCGAATGGCTTGTTGGCCCAATACCAATCTCCGATAATTTCGGTAAAGAGATAATTACACGATTCTCGAGTGCAATCAAATCGAATGGCGTCTTTTACACGGACTCCAATGGACGTGAGATGTTGCGACGAGTGCGCAATCAACGTGAATATTTTAAACCGAACATGACCGAAAGTGTTTCGGGTAATTATTATCCGATCACTGCACGTATTACCATTGAAGATGCCACAAAGCGTTTGGCCCTGCTCAATGATCGCGCACAAGGTGGCAGTAGTTTGAAAGATGGCGATCTGGAACTAATGCTGCATCGTCGTCTGCTGCGTGATGATGCTTTCGGTGTTGGCGAGGCTTTGAATGAGACTGCTTTCGGACAGGGCTTGGTCGCACGTGGGAAAGTTTATCTCGTGTTGGGCAGAGTGAAAGATACGCCATCGCGCTACGAACGGATCGAACAACAGCAGATACATTTGCCGTTCTGGAAATTCTTCAGCAGTGCTTCGCGAGCTAGTAGTGTGAAGGTTCCAAAGATACCGATATTTAATGTTGCGCAGAATGTGCATTTACTCACTTTGGAGCCATTTGGCACTAATGAGCGCTTATTGCGTTTGGAAAATATTTTGGACAAAACTGAAGGGGCGTCGGTGACATTTAGTTTACGCCCCATCTTCGATCAATTGGGTGGGGAGGAAATACGCGAGACAACTTTGGATGGCAGCATGATTTTGAGTGACATGAGTCGTTTCAAGTTCCAGCCCGAGGGTTCCAAAGTACGCAAGCCGGAGTATTATAAATCTGCACATACCCCGCTCTCGGCAAAAAAGAAGGATTCCTCGAGCAAATTCAGTATCACCTTGAACCCTATGCAAATTCGTACATTTATTATTAAGTGGAAATAAAGACGATATATAGATTATGAAAATTACAAAATTACGAAAATTATTGTATATGTACATATATTGTTCTTTTGTAAATCATTTTTGGAGAACACTACTAAATCAAAATTAAAAGTGTTTTGCTTCTGCTTCTTCTAAACTATTGAAACATTTATGGAACAATCTACCTAAAAATTTTAATATGATGGCGCGAAACTGAGGAACTTCCTTATAGCTCAGCCATCCTAAATTCCGACTGCAAAACAAAAATATTTTTTAATGTTAAGACCGGCCTTCACCAGTAAGGCCACTTGGCCATTGATCGATACAAAAATAACTAAGGCTCTACTCCTTCTAGACAGAACCCTTGCGAGCGTATCAACCGGCGTAATCACCGGAAACTGATTGATGGGGACTCACGGTAGAGGAATGTGCCACTTCTCCACTGACATCTGTCGCCGCAGAGACATTGACGAGAAGGAGAATGTAGAGTACTCCTTCTGCCACTAATTCACCGAAAGTGCAGCCCGATACCCTTTCCTAGGCAATTTCTACTTTTCCTGCCTTGGATATAGCGTCAGCAAATGTCAATAATATCAAATGTTTTCTTAAACAAATCAAGCCCTTTCAGCATCTATAAAGGTTGGGGGATTCTCTTCTATAGACCCCCATTAAACCAACACCCGCCGTGTTTGAGCTACTTAACTAGCTAACAATGGCCGTTGCTTGCAATGGCGAAATGTAATACATTCACTTAGGTCAGACTTCACAGTCGTTTAACACGTTATAAAAGAATTCATAGCAAATATCTAGGGCGAAATTTCGCTAATTTTTAAATTAGATACCGAACATCTAGCCGCCTCGTAGAAAAAAGCTTCAGCGAAAAATTCAACAACACTCGAAAGTGATACCACTTTTCTGTTGACGACCCCAGCAAACGAATTAAGTATCACGATTTCAGCAAATGCTCCTGGAATGTACGGTCCCTTAATTAGGAAAGTTCCTATGTTCAGCTGGTTGATTTCCTCGTAAGAATAAAGGCTAACATCACCGCCGTCCAAGAAGTGCAATGGATGGGACAAGGATGAAAGCGAGTAGGTTCTTGTGACATCTACTACAGCGACCAAATAAAGGAGCGCAAATTGTTGCGCCGTCGTTGAGTACTGGCATTCACTCCGGTGGATGAGTGTCTTGCCACAATTCGCGTCGAAAAGCTGCAGTCTCAGCTGACTTCCGAGCGGTTTTCTGCTAGACTTGCACTAATACCCTCTGAGAGTACTCATCAGCAACTCGTTATACGGAAACTATGTGACGGCATTTCAAGCTCCCTACTTACAGCTGCAAACGAAACTGTTGGATGAAGCAAAACGCATCTACAGACAAAAAAAAAAAAGAAAGACTCGGAGATACGTAAAAATGATGAGCTTGAGAAGCTGGATGACAAGGGTAATGCTCAAAAATTCTATGGAAGGTTTTAGGACCTGGGCAAACTTTTGAAGGACATAGAGAGGTGATCTAGTGATGGATGCTTCGATAATATTAAATTTATGGAGAGGACACTTCTCCAGCCAGCTGAAAATCAGTGAAAACTGACTATGCGACTATGGAAAAGGCGTTCCATTATCTGGCCACGAATAGCAATCGCCCTACGCTTTACGATGCATAAAGCCCACCGTCAAAAAACTGATTAGAATAGTGTGGCTTTAGATCTGGTAAATTAACCATTGACTGAATATTCACCATTAGCTAAATCTTGGTAAAGTCCTGTAAAATATGATCAACACACACCACGTCTTCGTCGATTTTAAAGCAGCCTTCGACAGCACGAGAAGGAGCTGCCTCTACGTCACTCTCTGAATTTGGTATCCCTGTTAATTTTAAACGGCTGTGTAAGCTGCCTTTAAGCAATACCAAAAGCTCAATCATGATCAGAAAGGAAATTTTCGAGGAGTTCGATACAAACAAGGCGTTCAAAGAGGGTGACTCTTTATCGTATGATTTCTTTAATTTGATACTGGAGAAAATCATAAGAGTTACATAGAGAAGGGACAATATTTTACAAGAGTGTCTGCTTTCACCAGTCTGGATAAGGAAGCGAAGGACATTGGTCTGGTAGTGAACGAGGGCAAGACGAAATATTACCTGTCATCTCATAAACAGTCATCGCATTCGCGACTCGGCTCCCACATTACTGCTGATAGTCGTAACTTTGAAGTCGTAGATAACTTCGTCTATCTTGGATAAGAACCAATAATAATGTCAGCCCTGAAATCCAGCGCAATCACTCTTGTCAACAGGTGCGACTTTGGAGTGAATAGGCAATTGAAAAGTAAAATCCTCTCCCGATGATCGAAACCCGACATCCCGTCCTGCTATATGGTGCGGACATATGGACGATGACAACAACTGATGAGTCGGCGTTAGGAGATTTCGGGAGAAAGATTTTGGGTAAGATTTGTGAACCTTTCCGCATTGGCCACGGTGAATATCACAAACGATGGAACGATGAGTTGTACGAGTTATATGGCGACATTGATATAGTTCAGCGAATCAGGAAGCCGCGGCTATGCTGGCTAGGCTATGTGGTCCGGCTGGATACGAATAATCCAGCTTTGAAAGTTTTCGATGCAGTAGCCGCCGGTGGAAGCAGAGGAAGAGGAAGACCTCCGCTTCGATGGAAAGACCAGTTAGAGTAGGACCTGGGTGTAATGAAGAAACGAATGGTGCAATGTTGTTAAATCGGCTATAGTCGGGTAACGCCAGTAAAATAAGTAAGTAAGTGTGTTTTTCGTTTGGCGTTTCCAACAGATCCTGTCTCCCACAATTCTTCAAGTAATCTCTTTACCGTTAACTAAGTTAAAACACTATTTCAACCAAATTTTGTATGCAAATTCGGATTGCCGCCGTCTTGATATTTTTCCAACGTCTGGGACTCCGAACGGCTGATGGTTTTTAATGAGGATCTTCATATCAAGTCAGAAATATACTCGGAGAGGTTGACATTCCCTACCGAGGGACGACCATAATTAGAAAATTGGGCTTAATTTCTTATATAAATTAATTTTTTATAACTTTTTGGATGTTAGTACGAACCAGGATTTGAACACGAGCCTTCCAAATGACAGTACGCAATGCTTACCACTCCGCTACCGCGGCCAGCGAAGAATATATATCGCGATAAATTACCACATAGCTGTTCGAGGTGAGTCGTTGAAATTTCGAACCTGAATGAAGGCTACTGAAATCATTTTTAATGGATTTAACCTATGTATCCTCACTTGTTCCAGACAAAAAACCGCAATTTTGAAAATATTTACTAAGTATTAATGTATATATGTAGTTGCATTATGCCTTATATATGCTATGTTGTCTTACATTCTGCTGCTAGAATTAAGAAAAGGAAGCTGCATAAAACATATAAAATGAATAAATTTTGAATTAAATATATCATTGTATTTATATGTATAATGCTTAGAATTCTCATAATCACATAAAATATAAATATACGCATTTGCACATATTTAGTGCATGTTTTTGAGATATATTAATAAAATATAACATTTTTGAAATTATGAATTAATGAGCACAATTAAATTAAAAGCATTTTTACTATTTTTTCACGAAGCTATTTTATTTTATTTATTTTTTATTTAGAATAAGGCACAAAATTTCATTGCAATTTCTTCAATATAAAATGCTTGAGCAAAGTTTTTATCATTATATGTATGTAGTGCGAGTGAGTTACAAGCTAATTTAGTGTTATTATTATTACATTATTAAAACTCATGTCGATTTATGTATATATATGCATGTGTGCTTTATCGCTAAATTTAAATGTGACTATAAACTACACTAATCTGCTGAGCAAGGGTTGACTGTTCTTATAACTATTAATACCTAGAACATGTTTCAAACGACAATAGATATGTTTTGCAACATAAGGATTTAAACCATAACACTAAAAAAAAAACATAAAAACCGTTAAATATACATACATTATGATTAATTGATAAGCTGCTGTATAACAAAAAAAAAAAAAAAATAATAATAAACGGAGCAAAGTATCAGCTCAGCTGGTACAAGGCACTTTTTGAGCGTGTTATTTTAAGCTTGGTTGCTTTTTAAAAGTCAGCATCCCAGCCAGAGAACTCATCTGGCGGCTCTTCCGGATCGCAAGGGAATTTATCAAAATATGTGGTATCTGTTGGATGTGCGATGGGGCGTACAAATGGCGGTATGAGCAATTGCTGTTCGAGACCATCCCAATCAAAGCCTAGGAACCATCTGTGGAAAAAAATTCAATGAATGAATTAAATAATTTGAAAAAGTTCATATTCTAATTGAATATGAAGAGACTTATATTTTGAATTATAAGTTATATGCAGGTAGAAAACATACTTGATAATCTTAGTTTAATTCAATGCATAATTCAAATAAATACTATATTTAATATAACCTTTTTCTGAGCCTTTAAAACTTTAAATTTATAAATATAAGAATTTTATCGACAGAAACCGAGTTTTCATAAAAAGAATTTCCAAACACGTTCGCTTTTCGACAGGCTGTACAAACCTTTCCGAGTGCATATAATATCATAAGAAAATTGCTCAGTAAAACAGAAGCAAATTAAAAAATACATTGAAGGACTTCAACAGGGAATTTCCCGATGACATCTGAGAACCATTTGCACAACGAAGCATCTATGCTACGAGTTAAGGAGATAAATACTTTGCTGTGCAAGCAATTCCACAGAGAGTACTGAAGTTAGTTAACAGCTTCAAAAACTTCACAGGAAGGGAATGGCGTATTCGGAGTTAAATCAGCATCAATAGCAGACGTAGAGAATAAACTCTTACTTATCTAGACTCAACACCAACGTCTGTCCTACATGTAATTAGTCCCTGCACCACACTAAACCCTGAAACCAACGCATCTAACCCCCATCTCCCTCTGACCCGAAAGTGTTGTTGTTGTTGTTGTTGTTATAACCGCAATTTTATTCCCCAAAGTCCTTTTTGGGGAATATTGCGGGAGTGACAGTCCTTGGCCGGACTAAAATCCGGGTCGTTTCGATATAAAGACCCGACTGTGGCGGGAACTATTGGATTTTAGTCGCCTCTTACGACAGGCATGCCTTACCGCGGGTAAATTCTTGAGCCCCTAACCCGCAGGGGTACCCGTATAATTTGAATACTATACTATACAGCTATGGTCACGCAAATAGCACAAAGTGTATCATACGAGAAAATGTAACTCTTCTGAGGAACATAACGGTATTTTTCTGAATAAAAAAATGTATAATAGTTACTTATGTTATCTAGTTTACAGTGCGTTTCGTACATTCCCGTTATCCTATCAATCATATTTTTTTCGTCGATTTATCTGATCGTGCTATTAGTTAGTGGTGGTCACGCAAATAGCACAGTCATCGGTTGGATCTTGAAAGTATCTTTTTATTTATTTTTAGTGAAATTTAAATACATTTAAAGTTCAGTTCTATCAAAATTTACGCAGATTGAATTAAATGGGTTGCGGTAAACACTGTTCTCCTTAAAAGGAATCATTATTCATAACATGGCTAAGACAGGAAAAAGTGTTTCAGAAATTGCAGTTTTCTGGAACTATTCCCGTAAAATAGTACATAATGTCTTTAAACTGGTTCAAGAGAGTGAAGATTATCTATCTCAAAACAAATCCTAGGCACCTGCTCCGCGCAAAACAACGATTTTTGAAGACAGAGCCAAAATACGAAAAAAGAGGCTAGATCCTTTTAAATTTTCTAGGCGAAAAATGCTGAAAATAAACGAAGAATTCGATTTGACTATATGAAGAAGCCATGTCGGAAGGCGCTTAAATAAGATCTTTGGACGCAATACCCGCAAAAAACCACTCCTGTCAAAACGGCATATAGAAAAACGGTTAAAGTTTGCTAAGACGCCTGAGAACCGGGCGATAAGATTTTGGAATAATATGCTACGGACCGATGAAACTAAAATAAATATAATGGAACCGGATGGGAAAACCACATTTCATCGCCAAAGAGGTCAAGATTTGAATCCTAGGTACAATAAAAAGACCATAAAACATATAGGTGGTAATATCATGATTAGGGGGGCATTTTCCTGGCATGGCGTTGGACCAATTGTGCGGATAAATAGAAAAATAGACAAATATCAATATCTGGACATCTTAAAGAATGAAATGGAATGACTTGTATTTGACTCCATGCTACTTAATTGGACTTTTATGCAGGATAGTGATCCTAAGCATACCGCGAAGGTCACACAAGATTGGCTTAAGAAGGAAAATATTCGTATTTTGGATTGGCATGTGCAAAGCCCAGACCTAAACCCAATAGAAAATTTATGGAACGATGATTTGTGGGAAGACGTCAAGGGATAGTGGTACTCCATACCAAAAGAAAAATATGAGAAACTTGTTGAGCGCCTGGGACGCAGATGTGAAGCTGTTATTAAATATCGTGGACATACTACAAAATACTAATAGATAAGACCTACTTAAGACTAATAATGGTATATGATCTGGCATATTTGAACTTAAAATTACAACTTTTGCAAAATGTGCTATTTGCGTGACCACATAATTTCATTAAGAACCTCAAACTTTCAATTATTTTAAACTTTCATTGAATTATTATTAAGTTTTTTTTATAAAGGTTGTGTTAAATAATAACTGAGTGAGTTAAATAATAACTGAGTTACAATATTTTCATATTTTAAGCACAAATATCCCTTTGTTTCATTATTATGTATCGGCAGGAAAGTTGTGCTATTTGCATGACCATTGCTGTATATATGAAACAAACAAAAATGAATCAACAAAACAAACAAGAAAAACATACATGGTGAAAACTATAAGCCCGAAAGTGTCGAAATAGCTGGTTTTCTGTACTTCCCGTTAGATGATCTCGGTGACTTAGACTAACTAGGCTGTCTATAAGCTGTTTAGAGAACCACGACAACAACAACAACACCAACAACAAAAACTACAACAACATATATTGCAGGAGGAACTCGGCCGTAAATCTCTTCGGCAGTTATAGAGCGACACTTCTAAATATAATTCTTTATTCGACTATTTGAAAGGACTTGTCCTGAATAACTGACGATCAATCCACAGTCTAAAGCACTGATCGTAGAGACCTGAAACTTGAAGGATGTGCTCTGCGTATGACGTATTTTCCGGGAAAGAGATCCGTGACCGATCTATTCTAATACACAGATATCTCTAAGCCTAAATCCTCATGTAGAACAATTTTTCCACCAGGAAGTGACCCTGGAGCCGACACGATGGGTCGGTTTGGCTTAATATGTGGAACATATGTATGTAGGTGGCTCTTTGCCAAGGCCAATATGTGGAGATCTTTCGGAAAAATCGTATTCACAGTTCATAATTCAATATGGTACATAAAGAGCTCTTTCCCGAGTCTAATATGTGGAAAACTTTTCTTTCATTTTCATATATTTTGACATAGTAGTTTATAAGTCTTAAAAGAAAAACAACTTACAAATTCAATAAAAAACTTAATAGAACCATCTTAGAATTTCATTTCGATAACGTCGTGGACAACCTCTATTGCATATATAAAGCAAAAAATCATTCTAGCCAAATTTCTCTCTATCTCTTTAGTTTTTTTACTCTGATGCACATTTGGCATTCAGTGCTCAAATAGGTGTCAATAATATTCCTAAAATAGCTTGAAAATACTTACTTATGCTTCTTAATATTCTGAATTCCTCCTTTCTGGTAACCCAAGCGTTCAGCGGGCACATCCCGACACAGTTTCTTAATCAACTGCACCGCCGATCGGGACATGTGCTTAGGAAAATCAATCATATCAATGCCTTTTAGTATGATATTATACGTCTTCATAGGATCAGTGGCGGTGAACGGGGGGCTGTTGAAAGAAATAGAAAAAAGTAATAAAACCAAAACTCTCAAATGAATTTTTCCAATTGTAACTTACGTGCCGTTGAGCAACTCGTGTATGAGTATGCCCAAAGCCCAATAGTCTACAGCGCGATCGTGACCCTTATTTAATATAATTTCCGGCGCTACATACTCAGGTGTGCCACAGAAAGTCCATGTCTTGCTACTGTTACCGATATACTTGGCGAAACCAAAGTCGACCTGCGAAATAAAAATATTACTTTCAAGTACATTTTGTTAATCACCAAATATATCTTACCAACTTCACATAACCCCTCTCATCCAACATTAGATTCTCAGGCTTCAGATCCCTATAGATAATACCACGTGCATGCAAATACTCGAATGCCTGCAAGACGCAACCGATAATGAATTGTGTTGCATTATCATCGAAACAACCACGGTCGCGCAACATAGTCCATATCTCGCCGCCCATGCAAGCCTCTAGTAGCATGTATACATACTTTTCATCACGGAATGTGCGATGCAGACGACAAATGAAGGGTGAATTACAAGTAAGCATAATGGTGCGTTCGCTAAAGACATGCTCTTCCTGTTTGGTATCGACAATATGCTTTTTCTTTAGACATTTCAATGCGTAAGTGTCTACTTTATTCTCACGATATGCTTTGACAAGCTCGACGCGGCCAAAACCACCAATACCGAGGGTAGCGACAACTTCCAGGTCAGTTAGCTTCATGTCGGGGAATTCTAGGAAATTATTAAAACAAAATATGTTAATAGAATAATAGATGATATGACAACGGGGCGGTAATTACTAATCTGATTTAAATTGAAAAAATAATTGAAAATGTTATGGAAATAAAATGTTAATATATGACCCAATGATCTTATAATTATTGCACCTTGTGTAACATTAGCACCAAAAATCTCCTTCGACTTCTCAGCATATTTCATAGCCAACACACGATTCTCATCACCATAATTCTTTTCTTTCAACTCGCATAAATCACCAATTAGTTGCGTAAAAGAGTCACGATCCAATGTTAGGCACTCAACGCCCGGTGCCATTGCAATTATATTCGCTGTACGTTTATCCTCATTGATGAGAGCCTGCTCACCAAAGTAATCACCACGATCCAAAGTACGTATCTCTTTTTCCTCGGAGGTGGGCGTTAACTTCTGAGTGACTTTAACGCTACCTTGAGAAATGAGGAAGAACGTGTCGCCACTTGCGCCTTGACGAATAATATAAGTACCGGCTGGATAGAATTCCTGAAAAAGAAAATTAGAATTTTATGTTAATGTAAATATATTTTTAATATTTTTTTAAATCTATTTTTATATTTATATTTATATTTATATTTATATTTATATTTATATTTATATTTATATTTATATTTATATTTATATTTATATTTATATTTATATTTATATTTTTTACATCGATTTTACGAATTCTTTTATTTGTGCGCCAGATTAATTTAAGTTGTTTTGAGAATCCTTCCTTTTTCCTCCTTTTATTGTGCCTCTGCTTGCTTGATATAATTTTAATTTGATAATATATTATTTTGATATATAATTTCTTTCTGAACATTTTCAACGTTTGGATTTTTGTATTGTTGTATTTTGTATATAATATATTTAAATCCGGACTCCTCTTCAGCTCAAAATAAAATTAGATCTATTCAATTCATGGAAACCTTTCGCTTTGAATATTAAAAGAACAGCAAATTTTAACATTTACGGCAAATAATTTTTTAATAAAAAATAACACAAATATATTTTTATCGGAAAGTCAGTCGAAAGGATATTTTTACACGAATTAAACATAATAAATCAAAGCATTCTAGAGGATTCATTTTAACACAGAATGAGGAGACAAAAAGTGAACGCAAAGTGAATTTCTTTGAAATTTTTTACTGAAGTTGATTGGAAAAAGTAATGAGAGAATATATTGCTTTAAAAGTTTGAATATTATCGAGATCCATTAAAAAGAAATGAAGCTTTTTTTTTATCAAATTTGTTATTCGATTGCACGTTCTAAATTTTGTCAATATTTTAATATATTTTCGAACATGTATATACCTATATATTTTAGTTAAAAAAAAAAACCTATTTTTGTTTGCTTACACGCATTAGTAAAAATTCATACACATTTGTTATGAGAAAATACTTTTTTCATGGCACACAAGTTTGTGCTTTTTGAAGCCGAATTTTAATGTAAACCACATATATGTAATGTACCACTTTAATTTGTGTAAAACTTAAAATTTTCAGGTTTGAAAAGCAATAACAATAGTTACATTTTTTAAATTTACAAGTACTACATTTTTGTGGGATTTGTTAGATAATTCTCTCCTTTAAATTTATTAATGCTCACCACTTCAAGTACATCGGCTATTTTCGCTAGCACCTCCATGCTGAGATTCTTTAATAACGGCACAGACTTTAAGAAATTCACACTATTCTCAATGCGTTGCATGCCGGTACGCATCATGATCTGTTGGAAGACCCTACGATCGAGCACCCACACCCGAGCGTCGCAGAGCACGCGTATCGATGCTGTACGGGTACAATTGTAGAGAATGGCCAGCTCCCCAAATGCCTTACCGGGGCCCATTACACTTAAAACAATGCCACCCTTGACAACTTCAAATTCACCTTCCGCCGAAACGTAGAGATGAGCGCCCACCTCCCCTTCGCGTATCACAAATTCTCCTTTGGCAATGGCGAGTGGATACATCGATTCGACCAGCTCGCGCACCTGAGAAGCGTCGATATTTTTGAGAAAATCATTATCCATTATGGCGTCTTTGATGAGTTGTTTGGAGCTAAGAGAAAAGTATTCTAATTAGATTTTTTTATGTATTTTGGGGCTAAATTACTTGGCTTACCTGTAGTCCTTTTCAAATTTCGGTATCGGTACATTTATCGATTGCTGCATCGATGTTTCACAACTCTCACCGGAGACACCCTGTTTCTTGAGCACTGGCGCTTGTTGCTGTCCTGCCATCAGCTTCGGTTTCACGCCATTGAATTTGAGCGCTGCTGCCTCCTTAGCCGTTTGTGCTGCAACTGCATCCAAGGCGATCTCCACTGGCTGATTGTTGGCGGGTGAATTGCCATTGCTGGCCAGTGCACAGGTTACAGTGATGTTGCCGGCGTTAGTTGCTGTTGCTGTTGTCGTTGGTATCACGTGGTCACTGTTGCTCGACTCGACGGAGTTGCTATTATCTGGCGTGAAATGTCCTAGTCGCGGACTAGGATCGGATCCCTCCGCTTCGAACTTCTTCTTGCAGACTGTGCAAATTTGATTTGGACTGGCGAGTAGGAAATTATTAGGTGAGGGCGCGAGTGTCGCGGTAGGTGACGGTGGCAGATCGGCGATGGCTATGGGCAAAGGATTCGCTGTTTGTTGAAGAACGCTCTGGAATGCATTTAAATTACATTTAAATTACAAATTAGTCAAAAACATTTTAAATTGTAAGGCATGAAGGAATTAAAATGGATAGTAGATGATAAGTTCAAAGTCAAAATGCTGAGCAATATATTTTTTGAAAATGGTTGCGGTCAGAATATCAGCATACAAGAAATTAGACGAAAATATTCTTTAAAAATTTTTGCCAAAAATAAAAGGGTGCTGAACATATACATGAATATAGATAGGATATATAAATTATGCAACTAAACATTAAGTATTTCTTAACACACTAACACTGCGAAATAGTTTTATTCAAAAATGTTTCTTAGTAAATGTTGCTAGAGTATTGCGACGTAGTATTTAATACAAATATATTGTTAAACAAACATTTTTTTATTTTAAAAATGTAGCTGCTTGGTAAAAAAATTAAAATTTGAGGTAAAAAAAAAAATAAAAAAAAATTATTTAAAATATTACTGAGCACAAAAATATACAACCGCTTTTTCTCGATACTTTATCAACTTTCAGAAACGAAAAATCGGAAACGATTAATTAATATAATTGCTAAATATAATAAAAAGATTCTGTGCCTTTACTAAAAGTTAACAGATGTCGTTTTAAATTGAAAACACACAATTTCCAATTATTCGAATACGTATTAAAACTTTCTATTTTTGATAAAACAACACCCTCGTTAAGAAACAATAAAATTAAAAACTCATCATCAGCAATGTTTATCACGCGTTTTAATTTCAACGTTAGTACTTATAAAACAATTTTGAAATTATTTTAATAAATTCAATTAAACATTCGTATAAACAAACTATAAACAAACAAATCAATGTACATATATATGTAAGCACATAAATGCGCTCAAAAAAATATTCAAACCTCTGACTTTCCATACATACAAAGTAGCGAGTGCGAGTTTGCATTTATAAATGTTCATTGGTGTTCAATCACAGCGACGAACATATTAAATTAGCACTTGCTTAAATCAGCATAACGATCCGAATAAGTAAATAAGAAATGAGAAGCAGTGGCATTCAAATTGTGCAAAAGTTACACGTACTATACATTTCTACTGTTAGCTATGATCGTGTTGTTTTGAGCAGATCACGGGCCTGTGGTTCATTTATGAGCACTGAAAATTAATACATATTTACATGTGTACGAGTACATATTTATGACCAATTTCAATATTCAGACGAACGTAACATGAATAAGAATGAATAAGAATGAGTTTATTTATATATTAACGCAGTCGACATTTTATAGGAAAAAAAACCAAGACGCCCATCAAATATAGGCTAGAAAACTCCAATTGGAAATTTTAATTTTATGAAAATTGATTTGCTTTTAGCTAAGTATATTTAAGTTTTCATTAATTGCAAAAAATATAGATATTTACAAAGATTGCTGACCAAAGCGACCGACCAGTATGACCTGAACTAACTATACCAGCCGTTAAAAAAGTGGTGCCCAAGGTACTTATGTCATGCGATGCTTAAGGCTGGACAGTGACAGAGAAAAATTATGCCATTATCCTACCATTAAAATAAACATTGTTCATTTGGTATGCCCGTTATTGAACTAATGGTGAAACGGTCTTAAGCATATAGATACCTTGATCATTTAACGTTCAGCACAGGCCAAAGCTGTCTAGCCACGTAGCAGGTTACTTCGCTAAGCCAGGTGTAGGCTGTTTTGGTGAAAGACAGATTTAGTCTGAGTTTTGGCGAGCGTAGAATTTAATGGTACGTTATGTCGCAAGCTCATCTGCCATAAATGGGATGTGTCTACGTCAGGGCTCCTAGAACACGGCTGTATTGTGCCTAGCTGAGAGCTTGAGGGATTCGACGGCAGCTGACTATCAGAGTATATACAAGACTGATTGTACTGATTGATCGTTTTGTAACCAGAGATCGCAGCAAGAAGCTACAGTAGTCTGGTAGCCTAAAATTAGAATTGGTTTGAAAGCGTTGGCGAGTGACTTCCACAGCCTACCCTTTCATTGAGTTTGGAGCCATCCACTCTGATCCGTAACGTTTCCATTTTTTCATGCCAGCTGACATTTTTGTGGAGAAGAAATTGTCAAAATAGTAAGTGAAGATAGCGTCGTCAATATGCGTGTTATACCTGCAAGGCTGATCAGCCACACCCGAGCCTCGGAGAGTACACGTGTGGATGCTGTACGCGTGCAATTGTAGAGAATGGCCAGTTCGCAACGGCCTTAAATTCACCTTCAGCCGAAATATAGAGATGAGCGCCCATCTCACCTTCTCGTATCATAAATTCTCCTTCGGCAATAGCGAGTGGATACATCGATTCCTGAGAGGCGTCGGTATTTTTGTTTAAAAAAGAGAAACCCCATGGCTTTTGATAGAGTTGACGATGGAGTTCCAGTAATGAGAGTAGCTGCTTACCCTTGAATTCAATCAAGTCTGCTTCAGAAATTTTATTTTTTAGTGCTGACCATCAGACAGTGACCCCGTAGTGTAGTATGGGTCTGACTAATACTGCAGATATGCCCTATCTTTCCCCAATGGTCGTTTTGCATGTGTAGAGTACCGGGCGAGATTTCCTCGACTTTTCCACCGTGTTTCCAATTCACTTGAGCTTGCTATTTAAGATTATACCGAGATATTTCACTTCGGTAGAGAGAGTGATTTTCAAGGCTTTTAGTTTGGGGGGCTAAACAAACATTTTCCGGTATATCACGCAATATACATTGAGGTAAATTTTTATGTCAAAATATAATTGATCCTACCAACTTTGGGAGGTGACATCATTATTACCTGCAAGTCTGTGAAATATCTCGATGTAATCCTTGATTAGTTGGAAGGCGCATCAAAATGGGTATTAGGCCGTACATATATATTAAGTTCATTGGCATTACACAAACGCTGTTGTACCCATACTAACGTATGGAGCATTAGTATGGTGGGCGACATTAAAGAAGAAAGGCCGCATGAAATCATGGGGCCAGGTGGAACATACCTGTATACTTCAATAGGTATAGTAGGGACGATGAAGACTACCTTAACTGAGTGTCTAGAAGATATTCTTGACATTAAGACAAAAGCTTAAATGTTCTGAGAAGCTGTATCCTAGTAACCCGATTGGGAAGGACGTATGCTGCCATTATATACCAACTCGGACTAAACGTAAAATGCGACCGAGAAACGGTAACCTTCTGCCGGGTAAATGTTACCCCGGCAGGGAAGAAAGGGCGAAAGGCGGTACTATCAGAAACAGTCAAGATTTCGCGGCAAATCGTAGTAAATATCACTTGGCTCCTGGATTACACGGCTGTAGAAGGTAATGGAAAGGCAGCTGAACTGGCTCTCCCTGATGCCCCAAGCGATGTTGTAACCACCGACTGCTTCAGATCTCTCAACAACTTTAAATGTTTTTTAAAGCAGCTGACAATAGAGGAGCACTTCCCCTGTAGGACCTACTAGAAAGTTATTGTGGGGGAGTCTGGATTGTAGACAGATCAAAATGTTACTAACTCTTAACAAACGAGAACTTAATATACTTGTGAATATATTGACGGGGTATCTACGTCGACGTCACATCTTTCACGGTGCCCACGAAGGTGTGCATACATGGTGGGAAGAACTTAAACTTTTTATAAGCTGCGAGAAAAATGTCGGGAAAAGTGTTGTTAGATTCTGCGGTGGACCATTAAGACCATACTATATCGCCTGGGGGCAGGTCCTCAACTTTCCTATTTCAACCAACCTTGAGTTTAAAAAAATTTTCACCAGCAAATGATCTGCAGAACAGAATCACTAGTTGGTAATAGCTTGTATATTTTGTTTTAATAATGAGTTTCAATGTAATACCGGTATAATTGGCATTTTGTAACCACTGTGGCGATTTTTGACTGGGCTTCTCCTCTAATTCGCTACGAGTATTCTTTACAAGACAACGATGTATCTGCTTCATCATTTACGTTTCATGAATGTTTATTTCGCAAAAATAAAAATTAAACAAATCGCTTGCTTTAATTTCGTTACGTATGACCCACTAAAAACATATTCGAGAGTAATTTGTATCGTATCGAGTTTCAGCTCCTCTCGAAGCTGAAACTAGCTGGAATAAAGCAATTTGTCAAAAAAATATTTATTGGAAAAAAATGTAAACAAAGAATTGAGTGAGATGGATTTAAATAGTTAGCAGATAGGAAATGCATGTTATTCAAAAATTACCCAAGAAAATTTGCTAGAGAACAAGAGCACAACAAAATTGTGGTAAAAAAAAAAAAAAAAAAAAAACATTACAACAAACTGGCACAGGGTTTTAGATACATATATTCAATTTTTAATGGAACCCCTTTGTTATAGATTTCAAACCAAAAAAAGACTTTTCACTTTCATTTTATATAATGAATTAAGTTGAAGGCACCAAAAAGTATACGAGTCAGCACTAGAATACAAAATAACTTATTGCTGTAAAAGTCATATCACTTTAAAGAAAATGTGCGCCCGATTGCGGTAAAAAAAATCTTGTTGTAAATTTAGCGGTGCATAAAAATATCTAAATTGAATAGTTTACATTTTAACAAGCGGCAAATAACAATCTATATATATGTGTTTGTGCATGTAGAAGAAGAAAATATGATAACATATACATACGTAAATATATACCTAGGCTTTATATAAAAACACACATATGTTATGCATTCCTTACAGAAATTTACAAATAATGGAGAGCAGAAAAATAGAAAATTATCACAGCTTGCTATCAACCGGACAACAACGACAACAAGATGCTGATACAAAGTGTGACTTGCTATACAGTCTGGGCACTTAGCAATGCAGTTGATAAGATGGACGAGAATAATTTCAATGAAGCCACAGCCACCACCAACCAATTCATTCACTGGAAGGTGCAGGCTTCTTGCGTGTGCGACTATGCAAGGCATTGTTGCACTGCATTTGACGTCAGAGTTGCGATTTAGTTGGGGAGAAAACTTAAATAAATAATAATAACTTAGA